TAATAATAATAATCCGAGCAGTTCCAATAGGGTCTTCGCACCCTTTTGGGTGCTCGGACCCTAATAATAAAGGACCCAGAATGGAGCCCTGTGGAACTCCGCAGGCGAGTGAGGCACTTAAAGAAGTATTTTAATTGCCGACTTCTAGTGAGAAGGATCAATTTGACAAGTATGAAACAAACCACTGTAGAACAACATCACTGATACCAACAAAAGATTCTAGACTATTGAGATATGATAAAAATCAATAGGCCAACTGGTCAAATCTACTTAACTGGTTATGATAAAAAATCTGGCTCCACAATGTCATTTCTCTGCAGAGTTGTTCCACACCAAAGGGAGAATTTCAAATTCCTGTCAGCTGTAATAAATCACAGCACACTGTATAGTTTCTTACATTACATTTATTGTTACACAACAGTTTTGCATGAAGTTGTCTTGAGAAAAAGCAGTTCTTCACAGGATTAACTACATTAGTAGCTCTAACTGCCTGGTCAGCCAAGTTCAGTCAGGGGAGTTAGTTTACTAACCTACTGCAAGTAATATCTACACAAACTGAGTAATCACTCAAGCGAGCACACACTGTGCAATGTAACGTGTCCACTAAAGCAGATATGATTTAATGCAACATGTACCAGCAGTGCTAGAAGAAGCGTGTTATGACCCTCTTGGATCACTGGTATATAGGTATATAAAGTAAATCTTATCTATCCTGGTGTAGACTCAAGGACACAATGCAACAAATGCCCCTGACCTTTCTGACATTATCTTCAAACCGTTTTTATGTGGTTTGATTTTATGTTCTTTGCTTTTCATAAATTTTGAATAAATCTCAATTTCAAACTGGTGGAAAGAAATGCAAAGACTGGACGACAACATTATAAACTGACTCAAATTATTATACAGATACAAAGCATAAGTGTGAAACATTACCTGGAACAAAAAGGGAAAACGTGGCAATCAAGAATCGAGCATGTTTTTAGAAAAAAAATCATATAAATAAAATCTGTTATTACAAATAAAATCAATATACACGTAAACACAATGTAATTTTTTTAAAAAAACATCAAAAACAAATTTCAAATATTTGTAGTGAAATCAAAAATGTGAATCTTACAGATCACTTCTCTGTATTACAGGCAATCTATTGGTTATGTCTTAAATAATTATTTGGAATGAGATTAAACCATGTTAACTGGATTTGGTCCTCACATTTAAGCTTATATCCTCTGTGTGTTCACCCATTGTATAAAATGTAAAATGTAAAAAAAAAAAGTATATGAAAAGTGTAAACAGAAAGACTTTTTAATTTTATCATGTAAACTCTAAATGGAATTTGAGACCATTTAAGAATTGACGACTGGTCTTTGTAATTGCACTGTGCTTGAAGTTAAGAACTGATATGACGTACTGCACGCACTGACTGTGTTGAAATCTGTCTTCATTTTGCTTTCGTGGCTCCTGCTGCTCTACGAACATTCAAGATTTAGTTATTTAAAGCTTAATAAATACTGATAAGGACGAATCTCTGGTTGAAATGTGTAAAGCAGTTATAATCATAGATAAACACAGACAATGACAACATACATTGGCTCCCAGAGTTTTTCAGATGCAGTAATAACAAGCTTATATGAATGTCTTTGGCTTAATAACAAAGACAAAATCTCCTCTTCTGAATCACCTCTGCATCAGACTGGTGCAGTCTATGAGGTTGCTGTTGAGTCTCTGTTGATATGACAACAGTGCTGTTGTTGTGCTAGTTTAAAGCACATGAGATGAAGAATGTCCATTAATGTACATAAATACAAAAGGTGTGGTTTGAGGCTGCACTGAAACTCAAAATGAGGGTGGAGGATGTGGAGGTGCTGATGCTCCTGCTTTAAGGCATCATACTTGAGATCTTCGCAGATGTGCCTGCGACCTGCGGCAACAACAAACAAAGCATGAAAAAACAAAGGAAGAGAACAAACTGTCAAAATTCTAAAATATGTCGACATACCAACTATGGCTCATTCTCCATTGTCACAGAGACTATCTGGCCTCCATCTGAAAGGGAACAGTAAGGACACAAGATGCTTCAGGAAGTTTTAATGATTGCTTCTTGAGAAAAAAAATCCAATTACAAATAATATGAAGGATGAAAATTGAGGAAAAAAAAGCACCAGCAACGCACCGGTTTTCTCTTTTCCGTCATCCTCTGTGTGTTGCACATTGTTACCAAGCACACAAGGGTTGATCTCTCCATCAGCAGGGCTGTAATTAAAGTCAGAATAAGAATTAACAAACAGTAAACTACATTTAAAGGACTGACGTTAAAGATTCATAAAAATAAGAATGCTGACCTTTTGCCATTCTGCTGAAGGACGCTGTTTGCTTGTTCAGGATCTATATGAACCAGTCTTGTGACAAAGGAATGTCCATCTCCCAGACTGACAAAAAAAGATAAAGAGTGCATTAGAAAACATGTTGGATGGATTCAGACTCAATAGTGCTTTGGGAAGTAGTGTTTTGTTTTTTTTTTCATTATTTCCTCCACTCCATTAACGGCATCTTAACACCAATGTTAGATATATTGGCATTGTGTAGACATGTAGTTGCACTGTTACTTTTTAGTATGATTTACTGCAACTGCCTAGGGATTGATAGCTGCAGTTATATCACATCCATGTAGACTCACCTTGAGAAAACTGGCAAAATCCAATACTTTGCTTGGTCTCCAAACACCTCAGCTACATTTCGTCCAAAGCCTAGAGAAAACCCGTTTTTGTCTGGACCATTTGCGAAGACGGGAGCCCTGAAAGCCTCTGAAAAGCATTGTAAAAATGCAATTAGCCGGTTGTGACTTTCAAAGGGCATAATAAACCTTTGAATTAAGCTGCACAATTATCTGTAGTTACCTATAGTGGTCCTGTTCTTTCCAACGAGCCACAGATGGTAGGTGAGGAGAGACACGATGCTGATGAAGAACAGGGCCGCCACGAAAAACAGGAACAAGATGTGGAATTTGGCGTGCGTGTCAGGCAGCTGTTTCTTCAGAGGGAGAGGAAAAAAACCAACAGTGTTAGCCTTGTCAAACTAAAAGAATAGTTTTTGTCTTCCTGTCAAGCCATTTTTCCCGATAACAACTGACTCCATTTAGGTAGAAAATGTTATTTTTTCTTTGTTGCGTCATCTCAGCGTTGTACAGAACAAATCAAGTAATGGGAGACACCATCCATTGTTGGCACAGTATGTTTTGCTATAACACATTATACTACTTCTCTGTTAAAGTACGTGACAGGAGCCATTGTTATGCAAAGTAGTAGCTGAAGAGGATCCACTGATGAGCGATCACATGACACATTTGTGCACCACAGTGACACTTTTGTAAATTAGCTTTACCTTTTAATGCAGTCAGCAGTGGCTGATCGTATCTCACTCCAGCGTGACTGCACGTAATCTTTACATTAAATTTAATAATGAATTATGTTGCCCTTCCCAAATGCAGGTTGTTTGATTTTCCACCAAAGAGTCATTTGAAAGAAACCACACCAATGGTCCTGCTGATCGTATGAGTCAAAAAGGGCCTCAAAAGCTCCACAACCACCTTTAACAGACGGCAACCACAGCAAGCGCGCTCATGCAAGAACCAGCAGATCACAAAAACAAATAAATAAGAGGAAGTGCCTGTACTTACTGTCCAGAATTTGATGAAATACCGGATGACTGTCGCACATATTACTACACAGTAGAGTGAGGCGTAGGCCAAGAACAGGACAAAGTACTTGTAGTTTGAGAACCCAACACAGTTATTCACCCTGACAGAAATCAAGAAACAGAAAGTAAAATGTGGTTATCGTCCTGTGTTTCTTTCTACAGAGAACAGATTGATTTACAATAAAATAAACAGTATAAAATAAGATATATATAATATGTATAAAATAAATAAAGCTGATGGGCCACAAGGCGAGCAAATTTAAACATTGAACCAAATCTTACCAGGGGCAGTGATGGTCCATTTTCAGCACACACCTTCAAGAATGGGATTAAGGAAAACAGACATCCTGTCAGTACATAGCCAACATTCTAGTGATCCAGCTATTCAGAAGGTCCTACAGTATTTGATCAACTAAAGATGTCATCACTAGATGATACGCAGGACTCCAAAAAAAAACTAAAACAAAAGAAACAGCTAAATTCATCAGTTAATTTGTAGATAAAAATAGATAAATGCACAATTTTAAAACCTAATAAGAATGTAAACCCACAATTTGTAGCATAAAGAAAGACTCCGTTGAACCATTATTACTAAACTGTAAGACATTTGCATTTATTCTCCTGTTTTCTCTTTATTTTCTGCGACCAAAAGCTACAGTTACACAGAACAGAACATAATTAAAGTGAGAATCAGTTTAAAACATATCTGCTCCATCGAGGAAACACAAAGTACACACAACAACATAAAACTGATTAGCCTTAATTATAGAGCATGTACACAGAGAAAACACTCACATTTCACAGGTTGAGCAGTGATGGCAGCGGTCAGGTTTGATTACCTGGCAGTAGTTGCAGTATCGGATGGCTGTTAAAAGAAAATGAAAACGGTATTATTAAACTCTTGCTCATTTCCCCCTCACATACTTTTATATGACAGGCAGAGAAATCAAAGTGTATGTGAGGTCGCTGATATATGTGTTCTGTTTTAAGACTTTCCAAATGTTCCCTTCTTTAGAAATGTTAAGCTCTTTTCAATGCTTAACCCACAAATGTACAAAATCTTTTATTAGTTCTACAAATTAATAAAGGTTACTATGTCTACAAAGTGTCTTTTCAAACGTGCCATTGAAACTAAGCAGGTAAGATGACGATTGTTGATTCGGAGACGAGGAAGGTGTAGCCTGTTGAGAAAAGGAAGTGCACCTGAGTCCTATTAATCCTCCTGATGCATTTTGTTCCATATAAACAAGACAGACAAGCTGGAGCTGTGTTAACATGGAAACAACATCTTATAGTCTCATTTGCACTCTCATCCAAAAGAGGAAGACAATGTAGCAACACATTTATACAACTTCATTTGTATTGCTTGTGTAATGTTGTGCATATGAGAGGAAGGTGTTACCATGTCCTTCCTCTATTTACAGGACAACAGTTAGAGTTTTCCCTGGTGGCCTGCTTTACAGCCACTACTGGGAGTTAAAAACGTTAGTCAACCACAGTCACTGATGATGCTGTGGGGAAAGCCTCACCTCCTCCAGCTGTTCGTGTATACACAGGTAAATTCCTCGCCACTTTCTTCAGAATCTCTTGTTGCGCCTCAGCTCGCTCCTCCCTCTCATACAGTTCCTTCTCTTGTCTGGGCAGACCGAACTGAAAGGAGGACAAAAGACGGGAGTCAGAGAAATGTGAAAAAAATAACATATTGTAAAATTGTAGCCAAGATTTTTCTATTCTGCCCACAGAATCACACTCTGGCCACTTACTGCTTTTGAGGGGCTGGTCGGTGTGGACCAGATAGTTTTCCAGTATGCCCATATAAACATGGCGAAGGCAATATGAAAGATGACCAAATAGCTGACTGTTGAGAGAAAAATGTGTAGTTAGAGTGGCAGCTCTTTTGTAATCCTTGCTCTTAGAAAATTACAGAAAAGGGCAGTATTTAACGTGAAATAATTACTGTGAGTGGAGAAATGATACGCGCGTGTGAGCATCACTTACTTCGTTCTGCATTATTTGGGATTGTATCTACATAAGGAAGGGAAAAAAATACATATTAGTGAGCCGTAATGACCGTCTTAAGAATGCATGACTGCACATCACGCCATCGCACACACACACACACACACAGGAACACACACACCACCTCCTTTCTGGCACCATGTGGCAGCAGCCTGGCACGGCCAGCAGTGACCCTCCCATAACAGAGAGCTTTGTTTAAGCAGCAGGGATGTCCCTGTTGTGAGCACAGCAGCTGAGTTACACACATAACTACAGTACAGATACATGCTGATAATGGCATCTTCAGTTCCAGCTCGAAACAAACAGTAGGAAACTTGCTGAGTGCTGGAGCAACAAGCACTACTTATCAATAACTGCTGAAAAATACCATAAACATGTTATTTGAACTACATTCAGGCCTGCTTGTTAAAGCTTGGAACACTAATTTAGGTGTATAATTAATAAATATCAATACACACAAACTGGTCGCATTATGAGAGTGATGAGACAAAAATAGAAAGTCGGATTTATTGCTGAAAGATGAATGAGCTTTCAGTTGTATAGACAAACCAAAATAAAAAATAAAAATAAAAATCTGTGACTGTTTGATCCTGAAAAGCACCAACTTTTGCTGTACTGCATCAAATGTGCAATGAATTCAGTGATCCTTAAAAAAGTAACACATTTGAACCATTTTCATTTTTTCTGGAGCCCTCGTTATTCCCTCACATAAACAATGATTACCTTCACTCATCAGAATGGCTAATTAGCAGTAATTTACTGCTGATGTTTGAGGTTGATTCAATATTACAATATTAGAGCTGCAACAATCCATCTATTAAGTGTCAACTATCAAACTAATCTACAACTATTTTAATAATCAAATAATTATTTTGGCCACAAAAACAGTTAAAAATGCTCCGATTCAAGCTTAATATTTTCCAGTTTTTCACTGTTTTCTGATATTTCGTCGACCGAATAACATGAAATCAACAATGAAGACAAACATTAGGTCCAGTTCTAATATCACACAAACAACATGAACTTTTGGGGGGTTTTTTTGTGGTCAGTTGAGTCAGAAACAAGACTTTATATTACAGAAACACAAAGAGGCACATGACACATGACAGCCTCTTAAACAACTCCTTCTAGTCCAACAATATGAAATGAACTTAAACTATTTATAATGCGAGTACATGTTTAAAGCAGTGACAAAACAAAACAGTTTTTCAGTTAATTTGTGTCCATTCATTCACAAAACACACTTCACATTTAAAACAAAAAACAAAAAAACAAAAACATGAGAGGAACTTTGACAGTCTTGCAGTTTCACCCCAGTCAGCTGACTTAATGCTACTCGGGGCATTACAACTATTGCAATTGACTTATTAGTTATTAACTGATACCAGCATTTCCTCTTAGACTGAAAAAAAAAGTTGTCGGTTATACACGTCGTATGCTCTCATGAATAAATGTATTTATGTGAATGTTCTGAGAGTCAGAAACAAATTAAGGGTCCTGGTGTAACAGTTAAACGTACATTTAGATGATGTTGCCTGATTTTAAATCTCACTTCAACTAGCTTGTCAAAGTTGTCATCCCTGAAACTGTCAACGTGAGCCCGTATCCGCCCCGCGAAGGCTAAAATATTAATAAAAGTGGCCGTACTTACACACACAGAGCTCCACAACGTAAGCGTAATAAGACCAGCCGACGACCAGGTTAATAAACAGGACAGGTACCCAGTTTAGAGCCCGTTTGCAGCACCTCAGTGCAGGAGAGGGCGCCATCTTTAATCCGTGTAGGACATTAGCTGACGGTGACGTCACGGCCAGGGGTTTAAATCAGCCAAAGATGCTACAAGACCAAGATAGTTGCCCGAAGCGCGGACATCCGGGGACCTGCGCAGATATGTTTACTGCACTGAAACTTTCATTATTTCCTCGATTTTTTTAAACTCACCGTTCAAAAATTGTACTTATAGCTTTGCTTTAGCTCGAGATGTTAGAAAAAAAACCCACAATAAATGTCCCTTTATTCGTAGTTTCGAGCATTGCAGGTTAATATCGCACAGAAGACACAATCTTAAATCTCACTATCTTTGGCTGCATACATTTCTTACATGATGAAATTCAACATTCACATCCTTCAGTCCTTTGTGGTTTTTTGATTAAGAATATACTGAAGATTCCAATTAACTCAAGTTATAAAAAGCTGAGATTTTACATATTAGATTCAATTAGTTGAAGGACACAAAATCACACAGAACCTGGCTCAAAGCTGCACTAATTGATTATTTTGTCCAGTTGGGGGCAGACGAACTCCACAATCTGGAAACTCAAAACCTTAGAAAGTTATGGTAAATCTCAGCAGGAATACACACTGACATTCATATGGAGCTGTGTTTATAGTTATCTTATGGTGTTTTAAAGTTTTATGGCATATAGTTTAAAACTTTACAGTACTTTATTTTATATTCTGTTTTGTTGTAAATACCAACAATTGTTGCACCTTTTTGTAAATATCAGCATTTTTGGAACCTTATTTGTATTTCTTTCACCAGCATGATTTGCATGTTAATTGTCTGTCTGTCGATCGATCGATCGATCGATCGATCGATCTATCTATGTATCTATCTATTTTGATTTCTATACATACCAGGGAGCACCAAACCAAACTTTTTTGCCATATTTATTTGTATGACACATTATTATTATTATTATTATTATTATTATTATTATTATTATTATTAGCTGCAAGATGTTGTGGTTAGCACCGTTGACTCACAGCAAGAAGGTCGCTGGTTTGCGTGCCGGTGAGGATGCCTGGGATCTTTCTGTATGGAGTTTGCATGTTCTCCCCCGTGCAGCGTGGGTTCTCTCCGGGTTCCTCCTACAAGGTCCAAAAATATGTTGAGGTTAACTGGTGATTCTAAATTGTCCATAAGTGTGAATGTGAGTGTGCTTGGTTGTCTGTCTCTAAGTGTAGCCCTGTGATAGACTGGTGACCTGTCCAGGGTGTCCCATGCCTTCACCCTAAGTCAGCTGGGATAGACTCCAGCCCCCACAGCCCTAGTGAGGATTAAGCAGTGTACAGATCATGGATGGATGGATTTTTGTTATTATTATTTGCATGCAGCTATGTCTGTTTCTTTAATATGTTTTCTGTCTTAATAATATGTCTGTTTTGTCCTTCGGTCTTATGGGGGGGGGTACAGTTTTGTCCCACAATATACATAGTATTTATTGGGACAGTAAAGCTTATATAATGTGACATTTGATGAAAGAAAACCCAATTTTAAAATTTTGTTCCCACTTTTGAGTAAAACATTGATACTTTGTCTGTTTGTTTTTCTGGTTGTTTTTCTGTCTTAAAACCAAAACTGTGGGAAAAAAAGGAAACTATCTTAGTTTGCAAAAAATTTACTGAGAGTGTGTTTGCATGTAGGACCCTAAATGACTGGAACATTTGTATTTGAACATGTGAAACGCACCACTCTGTATGGATGAAGGTGGGTTGAAGATGAGTACATGTTGTGTCCTTAGCTTCTAAACATGTGGAGCAGAAACAAATGACAAAAAACAAATAACATCCAAGCAAACATTTTAATGGTATTTTTCTTTTCTTTATTGACAAGACAATTTATATATCTTATAGTATTTCACCTGCATATGCCCATAATACATTAAATAAGTTATTTTTTTAATGTTAATTCTAATTATTAGCCTTTTGTGTAATTGTTGTAGATAAATAAAGAAGAGCAAAGCACGAGGAGGTCATTGTACGTGTCTGCTGTATGTAGAGGCAGCTTTGAGAGAGGAGCGTTTGCCCTTCTTGCGTGAGGAGCGGGAGGATGGAGAGGATGGAGAGGAAGGTGGGGATGCAGAGGCAGAGGAGGGGAAGGAGTTAGGGGAGCCTGAACGTCTTCTGGTGGGGCTGGTGCTGGGGGAGCCAACGGGGGATGAGTAGGGTGACAGAGCCTGGAGCATACGACCACTTCGCTCCTGAATCACATGCTGAACAAGGACAGAGACAGAGCAGAGTTTAATAATGGTTCAAACAATTATGTCATGATAAAATATGACCTCTTTATTGTGCTCACTTTTCCCTGACCTGCCATATCTACATATATTTTAATGATTTCCTACCAGAATGGCCCCAAATGTTATTGTGTTTGAGTTACATGATATAATCATTTTTATTCTTAACATGCTTGGTGAGATCAGCTGCATAAACCTGAAGCGGTCCTTGATGTTTCGGTGCCTTAGATGAATTAATTCTATTAGCTGGTTCTGATTGCACTGATCATGAAGGTAGAGATAGCTGTCGGAAGAGTGGAACATATAAGAGGCCACAGTATTTTCTAGATTTAGCGGATATTTATCTACAATGGAAGTATTTAGTCGATTAATTCCAGGAGTTCTGTTATGAATGCATTATGTCTGACTTCAGATGTGGCCACCACTGTGAGAAAATCATGAAATGTCGTTAGTTAATCCTAATGTAAAGGCTTGACCTCCAATATTATCACATCTATTATTCTTTTTTTTTCTGTGATTGACAAATAAATCACATTTTTTTTTAAAGTAGTTACGTAGCTGAGCACCTAGACGCTAGAAGTTGACGCTTCTATATTTGATTAATGTAAAAGTAAACATGCCCAGGCTCCATCTGGTCCAAAAAGCTCCAGGAAGTTGCTGATGAATTCTCGAGACTTCTCCTCCCATTTGTGGATGAGGTCCTGGCTCTTCTCCTCCACTCTGTAAACAAAGTGTTTGGACTTTTCCTCCACTGTACGGACCGTCTCTTTCATCTTGTCCACCTGGTTCTGCAGACGGTACTTCTTATCCTGTTGGGGAAGACAAACCCCAAGTTTGTTTTTATTTCTGTATTAGGATATTGTTTCTTTTGAAACCATTTTCAGTTTATTAATCGTGTCATTTTTTTCCTTACATTAATGAAGCTAACATTTAGCTCCCGGGCAGTGTAGCCTCTCTGCAGGTTGCGTCGAACATAGATGTCGTAGTCTCGGACAATGCGGGTGATCAGATCAGATGTGGAGATGCCCTCTGTCCTCTCAGTGGCCACAAACATTCCTGACATTAAAGTACACAAATAATGAAGTCACATAAAATGTATTCCAGGGATATGAGAAATCACAAATTAATTCTCATGTGAATCTTCACCTGCTTCCTTGATGTGTTTGTAGACATCCTCTGATCCAGCAGAGGTGTAAGGGATATCATCGTGAGCCACAAAGTCAATCTGTGAGTGCAACATGACAGTGTTCAGACTGACCCAACACTACATAACTCTGTCACTGTATGAAAGTGTAGAAAGCTGTGTGTCCAGTTATTGTGTGACCTTTGACCTTATGCTTCTGGAGGAAGTCTGTGGTTAGAGTCCAGGGAGCGTCCCGCACAACCTCGTCAACGTAGCGACAGTGTAGGAGGGCGTCATAGCGTTCATCCTCTGTCATCACCGTGTAGCCTTTATACTTGTGGGTGAGTTCATCACTGCACACTAAGGACACATGGGTTTACAGTATATGTCGTGTCTTGCTTAGAATCCAAGAATGAGACTTAATCTAAAATGGACAATTTAGCCCAGAGAGCTTGAAGGATACTTCAATAATAAAAATAATAAATTGTATGTGTATTGCACTTTGTATGTTTGCAATCTCAAAGTGCTGCAGGGTAAAACAAAAAGGTCAGAGTTTATATTCAGCTCTGTAACTTTTGGCATATCCAGCCCATTTCATCAAAAGGTTGAACCTGTCATTCTTTTTTTGATGTGGTTTTGTGGTGGGTTTTATAAGAGAAGGATTGAGAACAGTACTTTACCTCCTACTATCAGGTGAGTGTTGGGGAAGACATTTTTGGCCTGCATCAGCGCTCGAGCATGACCCGAATGGAAAAGATCAAAGATTCCATCAGCGTAGACCCTCACGGGACGATTAGCTACAAGACAAGCAGTACGAAAACAGGTCCTTAAAAACAAGCACAACCTCACAGAACCTAACTTGAATCATACTCTCTATGTTGATCTCTGTAGGGATTTACTGATACAGAAATCTGAGCAAAGGATGACGCTACTTTCTGCCAGTTTGTCACTCGTATGACGTGACAAATGTCAAAGCTTCAATCAGCCAAACAACTAGCAGTAAAATAATACTGCACTGATAGCTTTTTACAGCTGATACTGTATCAGTTGATACCGACATACTGAAACATCTTCAGTTAATCCTGGGATTCCTGATAGTCCTCCCTGACTCCCTGCTGCCACTAGCTGTAGCTATGAATAATGAGAAGTGTAACCTGGTGTGCCCCTCCTGGCTTGAGCAATGGTCAGTTTTTCATGGGGGACTGCTGATTCATAACCTGTAGATTTGGCAAAAACAGCTGGTTCCCGTAGAGCCTGGACACAGAGACAGAAAGAGAAAACCAAAAACATGTTAAGACTGAATAAATGCCTGGATATTGTAAACCATTTATCCTGCTCGGGGTCTTATTACACATTAGGTGACAGCAAAAGCCCAAATGGAAGTGCAATAGGCATTAATCAAACCACCCGTCTATTATTGTTATGTAGATCCTTGTCATGCCTCCAGAACAGCTTTGATCCATCTGGTCATTGACATATTCTGTGGATGCTTGATCACATTGACATCTTGGGAATTTGAAGACCAGGTCAAAGCCTTGAACTCTCGGTGTGTTGTTCTGCTAAGAGAGGCCACTGCTACTACGAAGGAAGATATGCTTGATCTGCAACAATGTTTAAGTGGGTGGTACGTGTCAAAATAACAACCACACGACTGCCAAAGTTTCCCTGCAGAACATTGCAATGTAATGGAATGCTCTGTTGGAGGTTTTAGTGCTGTGGCTGTTGTTTACTTTACACCTCAGGGCAATAGTATAGTTTTCAGTTTACCTAACCAGCATGTGTTCACACTGTGGGAAGAAGAAAGTGTCACTGGCAGCGATACTGCTTTTAGTAAACACTAGGATTCAAAAATAACTAGTGCATGAAGGCAATATACAGCAAAGTAATGAGAATTCAAGCATTGCAGATATTAATTGTGTTCTTCTGCATTGATTTTAATGGGTTGGGACTCTTTAGATTTGACACCATGGGAAAAAAAGGATAGTATCGAAACAAGATAAGCTTTGTTAACATCTTGAAGACAGTTTTGAACAATCTCAGCACTCGGGTCTAAATAATCATGGACTTTGTGTTGTGTGCAGATACATACATGCACTTTTATCTGCTGTGTTGCAAGATACACTTTGAACTCTTGCTCTGCTTGGACTGTTTGTTGTTTCTTGAGTTGTCTTAAATTATAAGATGTGTTTGTTAAGCCCTGCAGATTTCTGTTTTGAAATGATTCTCCATAAAACTTTATGAATAATTTAACATGCTTCCGGGCCTCTTACATTCTTTTTTTCTAGTGATGACTTCTTATTTTATGCCTATTTTTATGCATGTAAGAAGTCAATTTGCAGAGATACCTGTACATATTTCCTTAATTAAATCCAAAGTTTTACATAATAATGTGCTAATTTTGCATATAAATTCTACATTAAATGATTAACATTTTCTGGCACATTTACAGGAAAAAAAACAAGTGATTACATGAGAATTGTTTTAAGTTAAAGAATAACTTAATGCTTTATTTTTGTATTATTCCTAAAGAGTGTTTAGCGTCATGAGAGATTAATCATTACTTCACTAAATTCCACATATGTTTATGAGTCATGGCTACATTGTTCCACCCAGCTAATCAGTTAACTCATCCAAGTGACATAACCACAGCAGGAATGTTTACTTCTGTTATATTCAAAACTGAAGTACAGCGTAAATCAAATACGTTTCACTTCTGTGTTTTCACTTCCAGTGTCTTCTCACAAAAACACACAAACATACAAGACAACCAGGTTCATAGATATGAGTATTGTGATAAGTCCACTGTGCAGTTGCCATGTTTCATAATAACAGAGCCGGTCTTACCCTGCCGCGGCCTCTTCCTCGGTTCTGTGGGGCCTGTTGTTGCTGCTGGGCGTTGCTGCCTCGTCCTCGTCTCCTTCCAGCCATCCTGGATGTCCTCCTGTCCCGTCGCCTAACAGCACCACTGCACCTGCGGGTAGTTCCTCTCAGCCAGCCTCACGAGTGCACAGGGGTGATTCCTACGCTTGTGTGTCGTTTTAACTGTACCTCTCATTAGCCTGCCTGACCCTGGTGACGGGATAACGTAGTGAGCAAAGTTCAAGCCACTGTGGTAAAGTTGCTCAAAGATCCAGACTGCACTAGCAACCAGTCCTGAGCTGGGAAAGACTTTCTCTGTCTTCATATCACAGCACCATGTCGTGCAGCTATTTTCTAATTTTGTTCATGAATGTGAAGAATGCGCGTGTTCTGAAACATTTCCATCCCCACTGTGACACAATCCAATAGTGAAACATTGTACGCTGAGGGAAGCTCGGTACGATCAGCTATGAAACTATGTGTCCAGAGCTGCTACACTGGCAGCCTTTGGAACCAAACACAGAGGGACTGTGTGTCCCAGCATTTCACAAAATTGTCACCTACAGTCCCTCGCTAGAGATTGGGGAGAACTTAAAATCAATAGCATGCCGTTCTGCCTGCTTGTTACAGCACATCCAGCTTTGGCACTATCTTGCTGGTTGTTTATATTGTAGTATTTGCTGTAGTTGAACCCTGTTGTAGAATACTACATGATTTATTTGCCCGCTCACTGCCAATAACACAAAAATGGTTTGCTTTTATTTAGTATTTTAAGATATATATAGTATTTTCCATTTGCCCATTTTTCTCACATGCTCACACATCAAATGGGGGTGGAGCTGCCATGCATGTGGAGGATCCTGGGATCAAACATCCAATCTTGCAATTAGTAACACACATGTTCTTCCACCTGAGCCACATAACACACAGCCAAAACACACACACTGAATCATACTAACATAAATACCTGAAATGCACACACAAAAATAGAGATGTAAAATTAAGAAATATTAATAAATTTGGTAAATCCTTGAAGTTTCTTTAGTTTATGACTAAATACCTCCATAACTACTGACATTCACATCTACCACAGCTCTACTTTGTCTTCAGCTTGAATCACCAATGTTGTCATGCTAAATTGCTAAACAAATATATTTGGTATTAGTATGTTAGCATTGTAGCGTCTTGGAAAGTAACTAAGTAGATTTACTTAAGTACTGAATACGCATGTGCATATGTAGAGGGAAATATTATGCTGTCTACTGGACATTAATGGACAGCTTTAGTTACTTATTAGATGACGATTTTACACAATAGGGGAAAATGACAAGCTTTTAAAATGCAATACATTACATAAAACACACATACATTTAGCATCTGATGTCTGACACCCACAAATAAGTGGGTACTCTAGATCCCATTTCAGATGTCTGAGCGGTTAACAGCTCCTCCTGATAACTTCTCACATGGTTCCATCTCAATAAAATCACATGATCCAACATCTCACCAAAAATCAATGATTACAGAAAAAGTCTAAAAGTTAAAAAACAGATTTGTATCAAAGCTTTGCCTAATAATCATCTGACAGACCCCAGAATATATTCACTGTCCCTGTATATAAAGCTGTATATAAAGTAGTGTAGACTGGCTCCACCTGTTACAACAGTAACATGCTGCCAACGCACTGATGTTTCACTATTAATAATCCAGTGATGTCATATATAATGATAGATCAGTCCGAGGGGCCAATCCGGGACTTTACTCTAATACTTTAACTACACTTTGCTGCAAATACTTATGTACTTAACTTAAGTAGGATTTTTCAAGCAAGACTTTTACTTGTAGGAGAGAATTTTTACATTTACCTTGTTTAGGCACTTTTATTTAAATAAAAAATCTGAGTACTTTTTGTTTTTTTTTTTTTTTTAAATCACTGACGTATTTATGGGCCTGTCTTGTTATCAGTGTGGGTGTGTTTTATGTTCACACAAGATATTATAGAGACATTGTCATAAATATCTCTCTAATGTTTATCTAAACACAAGGCCATTGTCTGGTGACATGTCATGTTGCAGGAACCCTTATTTTAAACTGTAACACACTGTTTGACATTCACTGGATGTGTGACTGAGGACACGTATTACTTCAGGACCTGCGAAAGCAAAGCAGCCGATTGTACTCTCTTCTTTGTCTTTTTCTTATTTGATTTAAAAGATTTGCACAATAATCCAGTTCATTTCAAGCTGGAGGGAGTTGATAGCCAAGAAATGATTCACCATAAAATTCCTACGGAAACTCAGTTTTAGTTTCTATAGAACCACAAGTTAGACCATCAACTCCCACGTAAATCCTCCTCAGAGCTTTGAAAAGTTTGTCACATTTTCCCAACAGGATGTAGACGCCACTGTAATAAACACTGAGCACGATATAATGAGGGGAAACACTGAAATAACATGAACTTCTTAGAAATGTCAGCTGAGTTGTGGGAATGATGAATTTGTTGGAAAAGTCCCTAAAATGTTTCACTTTCATTCTTATTTTCTACGAACAAGAATGGGTTCGATGAATGAAGATTGGGTTGTTTTTGCAGATTCAGTTCACATTTAAAACAAGGAACAGTCACATAACCGGTTTTAGAGCGCAGGAACCAGGAGTAACTTCGTAGGAATTTTCACCTGTGAACACAATGACCTGGGGTAAGGGGTGTGGCTATCCATGTGAGAGCATGCAGTGCAGGAGTGTTGCTCTGCCGTTCTTCCTCGCACTTCCTGAAGTGAGCGCTGCCCAAATATGTGGAGTTACAAACAGAGGAAAACATGTAACGCTCTGGACTTCTGACAGACCAGGACAGGACGTAATACTCTACTTCAAAGGTAAAAGTCTGAGTCCAATGAGGACATGTTTCACTCTCTCATACTTCAGAAATGAATCTCAGGGAGTCACTTGGCATACAGTTTAAACTCAGTAAGGACTAGATGTCTACTTTAGCAGGAGAAGTTAGTCACAGGGTGTGCAAGCAGCAAAGGTAACAGTTTTTAGTTTCACTTAGATTCCCAGTGTCATTGGTTGTGATTAATCAGATGGGTGGAGCCAAACAAAAACAGATTTCCAGCCTGTAAGTTTGGCTGTCAGACTGACACCAACACGGTAAGTGGTAATTGCTTTTTTCCCTCTCATTCATGACGGTGGTTTCATTACATCAGAGGTAGTGAGTAACCAGCCTCGTTCCTTCACTTTGGCGCAGCGAGAATACTAAACTACATTCTGTGGGAAGTGTCCCTGAAACATTTGAAGGGACAATATGTCCTAGAAACGTTGTGTTTGTGTGATTAGCTGTTAATTATATTTCTGACTGAAGTAGTGTTTGATTTTTCTGTAGCTGTCTGACTCTGACAACTCTGTCCACAGATTATTTGCGCATTGCTGGTGTAAAGCATGTCCCTGTGGCAATATCTTACAACCCTCCTGCTGATAGCTGTGCAAACATGTGAAGGTAAGGTGAAAACTCTAACACTATGCAATGTAGATGACTCAGTTTACATCTTAGCCTTGCACACACACAGACACACACACTAAAACATAGTCGCTTTGACACTAATTGCATCACAACTGCAGTCCTACTACAGTCAAGCAACAATTGAGGAACTGATTTTTTTTTTTTTAAAGAGCAACACAAGCTATCTTTACTGTGGTTATACAGAGTTCTCAGCTGATGCACGGTATAGGCATCCATGAGGATTTACGAAACTGGGAATTTACTGCAATTGTGCAACAGCTACCAAGAGCAGCTGATGACATTTCTATACACCTCAGTAAAAAATGATACACATGTTTGTGTGCTTTTATTTTGAAACAACATTCTGTCAGTGATTAAATATTTGAACAATGCAAAGAAACTGGATAAAAGTCACCGCATTTGCTCAGTTAATATGTAGTTTTGTTGGTGACGCTGACAAAATCAACGCAACAAAATTCAGTAGTTTTTTCTCATGCAATTGTCAAACCATGGACTGTAGTCTGCCTCATGTATCTGTACATGCTGCTTGTGCTGTTATAGAATTCATTTAGTCATATCGTGCCCACCAAAATGTCCCCTCCACACCTACACATATGATTAAGTGCATCCGCAAAGCGTAGGTGCACTTCCTGTTTGTTGGTCCTAGTTTCTCTTGTGCCCTACATACTGAAGCTCTCCCACCACACACATTAGCAGACACCACCTAATTTGACTTGTCTGCATTTTGAATGTGTTGAATTGGTCCTGCCAAAGTGCATTGCAAGTATTTCCATTTCATTCATTAATCTCAGTGTAGGAGCCATTTATGTTTTTTGCTGGTAGGTTATTTAGTTTACATTATTTGGACACATTGTGGTGGTAATTGGACATAGGCTGTATATGTAGAAGGTACAGGTGACAAGAAGAGGAAGGTACAAGTGGATGGTTTACTTACTTTCAGCAAGTAAACCATCCACTAAACTGCAAGCACATGGACTGGAAATTCTGTTTTGGGTCTGCGTCAGTTCACTCCTGCTCCACCTGTGCAGTAATGGCAATAAAAGGACATTGGGACATGGAAAAATTGCCATGACACTCAGTGTTGCTAAACCGCATGCTCTCCCACTCAGACTTGTTTACGATTTTCTCATGGGCGAAGCTGCGTTTAAACACCGTCTCATTGAAGACTTGCACTGAATAAACCCACACTGAGTCATACGTATTTGGAACTTATGTCACTGATGGTGACGGTTGCTTTAAGTACGTCATGAAATAATAAGACGTTGTGCAACCCTTCTTGAGCAATGCTTGATAAAATAAACAAGAAAATGTCTCATTCTCTGTCCTCTCCTTCTTTGTTTCTTGCCAGCGTTCCCAGTACAGAGATGCCATGAATTTACAGATCTGGACCTCGGTCATGCAATCATTGGCACCAGCCTCAAAGTGAGGTTGTTGCTGTACACTAGAGAAAATGACACCTGTGGGATCCTCCTGTCCCACACCAACCTGACAGCTCATCCCCAGTTTAACTTGTCCAGACCCACCACCTTCATCATTCATGGGTATCGGCCCACTGGATCTCCCCCAGTGTGGGTAAACCATGCAAGGGAGTTACTGCTGGCCAGAAAAGACACGAATGTCATAGTAGTGGACTGGAACCACGGAGCCGCTAATGTCAATTACATTAAGGCCGTGGAAAACACACACAAGGCAGCAGACAACCTCACAGCATTTATTCAAAAGATGCAGGTATGAGATCTGTCTGACACTCTGTGACATTTCTGCTGCAATTTAACAAACTGTGCTATGTACAACAAGACTAATAACTGGTCTTTGCAGGATGGCGGTGCCTCTCTGAGCTCCATCCACATGATAGGAATCAGTCTCGGAGCTCATATGTCAGGATTTGTCGGTAGCAGCTTGAACGGGACGATTGGAAGAATTACAGGTAAGAGTAATTGGCTCATAAATTCACAGCACGTTCAATTTCTGATTTAGAATTACCTGCTTTACTTCACTGTCAAACAGCATGAAAATATAGTGACCCTGACTAACAATGCAAGCCTCAAAAAATCTCCTTCTTATGAAGTCAAAGCAAAACAAAACAACTTCAAAGCTTTCCCCATACATAAAGATACAGAACAGACGTGGAATTTTAGTTTGGCACTTGTACATTTGCACGACCTTTGGACGCGGAAACGCTTATCAAGAACATTTTATGATAGGTGGTTAAGCTCGAGTGAGCTTTAATTCCCAGATTTCTACCACAGCATGACAAAGTCCTTGCTGACAAAAGGGTTTATTAAATGTTGCAGAGCGCACAAAAGAATTTGTAGTTAATCACGGTTAAGTTGTCTGTTTGGGTAGGAGTCACCAGAATAAATAAAGCACAGTTTTGATTAAATCCCTGGGGAGAGATTGCAAAATGAAAACAGAAAATTCTCACAGTGCAGAGCAGAACAAAGAGCAGTTACCTGAGCATCAGATAGAGAAAGAAAAAGAAAAGAAGACTGGACATCTAAAGGTCTCTAAAGAGTTCAATTACACAAAAACAGACATGATGGTATCTAAATGCTTCTGTGTGACGAAAATAATACACTTCTGGGGCAAAAAGAAAAGCTAAACTGGTTTATCAGATGAGGCAAAAGTTTGGCAAACAGTGATCAAGACACAGTGCAGAGCAACACTAGAAATGTAAAGGCTAGAACAGCAGAACAGTACAGGTGCTTGAAATAAGTGATATATTAAATATTAGCTCAGGGCTGCAAGGTAGTAAAGTGGTTAGCACTGTTGCTCACCGGTTCGCATCCTGGTGAGGACACCCGGAATCTTTCTGCGTGGAGTTTGCATGTTCTCCCCGTGCAGCGTCTCTCCGGCTTCCTCCTACACAGTCCAAAAACATGTTGGGGTTAATTGGTGATTTTAAATTGTCAGTAGGTGTGAATGTGAGTGTGCTTGGTTGTCTGTCTCTAAGTGTAGCCCTGTGATAGACTGGTGACCTGTCCAGGGTGTCCCCTGCCTTCACCCTAAGTCAGCTGGGATAGACTCCAGCCCCCCACTGACCCTAGTGAGGATTAAGCGGTGTATAGATAATGTGTATTAGCTCATGTCTGCTTTTTGTAGCTCCTGTCAGTTAATGTTGGCTTTGGGAATACATTTAAAATCCTACTGAGGTTTGCTCATGTGATGTTTGCAGGTCTGGATCCTGCTGGGCCTCTATTCACTGGTAAGCCTCCAGAGGAACGACTGGACCCCACAGACGCTGAGTTTGTGGATGTTCTGCACACAGACATAGATGGTCAGTTGATTAATATAATGCCATTGTTGCACACAAAGAAATACACATTTTGCATATGTTTAAAATGATTGTTCTCATGCCCATGTGTAAACTGTGTGTTTACAGCGCTGGGATTCAGACAAGCTCTGGGTCACATTGATTTTTATGCCAATGGAGGAACAGACCAACCAGGCTGCCCGAAGACCATCTTTTCTGGTGAGCACACTCAGATCAGACAGCTTGTGTTATATAAGGAACTTAACTGCAGTAAATGACAACAGTTCATTGTCTTGCATCCAAATAGGAGGATCCTATTTTAAATGCGACCACCAGAGATCAGTGCTGCTCTATCTTGACTCTGTGAACTGGACGTGTACCACCAGGGCCTTCCCCTGCTCCTCCTATGCAGACTTTCTTGATGGGAAATGCTTGAGCTGTGATCGGTTCGGTGCTGCAGGGTGTCCTCTCTTTGGTAGGTGATGAAAACAAACACACAGTTTAACTCTTTTTAATTGTGTCAGTCTGATTTATACATAGAAAAGATTAGATAAAAACACAATATTGTACAAGAAAGAGCTATTTTAGGTATTAATAGAATTAATAAAGTACACATAGGCCATTTTTAAAAAATATAAAACGTATGCTGGGTGTTGTATGTTCTGCCAGTACTTGTGTATTTATTGTATTTCATTAGATATTACAGTGTGTAACGCTAGACCTGACGGAGCTGTTTCACTCACATCCAGGTTACGACGTTATTCAGTGGAAAGACGTGCTGCTGAAACTGAAACAAACTAAAACATACTTCACAACAAATGCAAAATCTCCATTCTGCAGTAAGTAACAGAATACTAGTAAACACAGGAATCATAATATTGATATGGTAAAACGTCTAAATTTCAATGTGTCAGCCTACTTTCTGTATCACCGGCAGCACACAGTAAAATGTTTGGTCCGCCACCTAGTGGTGACACTTTGCTTTTTCCCAACATAGTTTCATGCTGTGCTAAAATATGATCGTAACCCCTAAAATGCACAATGATCCTGAAAAGCAGGACGTGTTTATGGCTTTGAAGAAAAGAACTAAACACTGCAGTGAATTTTCTAAATAAATACCCATCTGACTGCTGGATTGTGCTTGATTTGGGTAAACAGAGGAGTGTGGATTGTGTGTTTTCATTGAAATCACATTTGCCCCACATTGCAAACAACATTGAAAGTTACGAAGTATAATTAAGAGTATTTAAAAAAAGGATTGAAGGTCAAAATTAATTCTAATTTCATCTGACAGCATTTTATTCATGAGGATGATTTGAGCCAAAAGGTCACGACCAGTTTGTTTTTCATTAAATTGTTCTCTGATGAGCATATTATTAGTGAATATAAAATGCACTGTCCTCCCTCAGTGACAAACTACATGGTGGAGGTGACGATATGGAACAAAGAGGTACGATGGGGATACCTTACTGTTAAACTCCACGGTGGTGGTAAAGAAGCAGTGGCCACCATTGACCAGTAAGTCCTCTTTCTGTATCTACCCAGCATACCAATATTCCTCCATGACTCCTCTTTATCACTGTGTCACTGCTTTCTCTATGTGTTTTTTTTCTTCCCCCACACAACAGCAAAGCGTCAAAGTTCAAGACGTACACAGAGACCAAGCTGTTCGCCCACTTTGACCAAGACATTCAATCAGTAAAAAAAGTGTCTCTCGAATTCTCCACCGGGGCTGTACTCCAGCCGAAACGGAAACTCCGCGCTCTCCGAGTCCGTCTCACAAACCTGGAACGCAAAGAAAGGTATGCGACAGAGTTTTAACACTTTATGACCTATTTGATGCAAAATGTTAGCTTTTTTCAATTCAAATCTCTTTATTGGCATGAAAGTATCAAAAAACTGTATGGCCCAAATCATCAAAATATCATCTGTCCAGTAGACAATAATAGTAATTTGAGCCTTCATACAGGACTGAGGTTAACATATATATTATTTATATACACTTTGCATGTGTGTGTCCAGATCAGGTTGTGGTGTATTGATCCGTATAGGGCAGCCTTTTCTGAGGAGTATTTTTTATTTTTATTTTAAAGAGGTTGTAAGCTTTTTGAAGCTGAATCTGAAATCACAGAGTTAAACTTAGTTCAGTAGCTCAACTTTCTTTTGGTTGCTGTGATTCTTTTGTGTCTTTGATTGCCGGTTTGGAGTCACTAAGCATTCACTTGGTTACAGTTTGTCTCCGTTCTCTATCTATGACAGTATACAGATAATCTTCTGATTCATACAATCTTTATAGGACCAGATAGCATTCTAATCTACTTTCAGTTTCCTCTTTCTAATCTTCCAAATAGGTTTTTTACATTACCATATGGTTTATTCCAATTGGTGTGTCTAAGACGAGGCAGTTTTCTCAGCACCAGCTCATATAAGAGTCTCTTCTCTGTCTAAACAACTCCTGTCCCAGCAGTAGCTCTTCAGTAACATCAGCTTTGTCTCTTCCAGGCCTCTGTGCCGATATGACGTCCTCATGGAGGAGAACAAGCAGGTCACCTTCAGGCCTGTTCCCTGTGAAGAATCCAACTTCTGAGACAAAGTCTGACCCCACATTCAACATTTCACTGCCGACAGAGATTTAACTGACTCTTCAATTCATCCAGGACTGTACAGGACTACAAGAAGGACTGCAAATTAAAAAGCAGCAACCTGTCAGCCAGATAGTGACTGACGACTGTATGTGATTGTTTATGAGCTGTAAATGAAATGTGATATACCATGTGATGTATACGAGTTTTTAAGAGAAATATATTTGTATATACATGTTTTTTAAGAAGAAAAAAAATCAGCTATATTTTTGTTTTTTACTCGTAGGATGAATGAAACAATAGGGATGATTTTAAGTTAGTACATTTCAAAAACAGAATTCATCTTATCAAGCTTGTTGAGCAAGTTCAGTAACTTTTTTTGTAATCTACAGTCCTCCACTTCTGTTTGTCTCTAAAAAAAAATCACACCAGTAATATCAATTCTGGCTCGATCAGGCAAACATATTCCAAAGTTATTTTTTTTTGTAGAATAACAGATTTCTCAATAAGACTGAAAAACAAATAGTAACAATAGAACAAAATGCTTGACCTCTGCTTCTGTTCCATTTGTGTTTCAGAAGATAGTTCCTCATTTTTTACATGTGATGTCACTGGTCCCTCTATATTTATTTGTATATATGGATTCATTTCTTAATTCTTAATAAAAACGCATATAAACAATGGCCAACATTTTTAATAAATTCACAACGCACGTACACATCAGCAACCAATAAACTTATGAACAAAAGGAAAACTATTACATCGTTTTTACAAGATATATGCATCCTTAAGCAAGATTGAAGCTTCATATTCGTTCCTCACCTTATTTCAAAAATGAGAATCTGCAGCACAAATTCAGACCGACAGCCACTAGACATTGTTCTAAATATTTTAATGGACATTTTACCCAACAAGGGATGTTAAATATGTTGTGGATATGGGGATTGAAAATCTACAGAAGCAAATACAACACATTAAATGTACAACAGAGCCATGCGCAGCTCATCTTCGGAGAGAAAGAACAGCCTTTCATCTTGGCTTTGCTCCTCCTGCTCCTCATCTTTACGCTTTCAGCAAAGGTTCGGTAAAAACATTCAGTCCTCTTGGTCAGAAGACTCATCAGTCCAACACAAAAGTAAACGACATTACCACGTAAGAGAAATCCATTAAAAAGGAGAAGGAACGATTTTTTTTAAGCTTATAGAATGCCATTTATCGGTTAAGTATACAAAAAAACACTGTCACCGAATCAGTGTCTTTCATGTTTGATGGTGTCCTCTCATTTAGACAGGTGCTTCTTCATGCGTTGAATTTCCATCTGAAACAAAAATCAAACCGCGATAAATACCAAGTCCAGTCTTCTAACCTTAAACCGGCTCACTGCCCAATTTTAGAAAGCGAAGAATAATTTAGTAAAGTTACCTGTAAAGTTAAGCGAATCCTTTTCTCCTCATCAAGCTCATTCATCAGCAGTTTGATTTCTTTACTGCAACATAAAATGTTGTCAAATTAGCTGAGGCTGAGCAGGTAAAGCAACAGATGATAATGACAGCATAATTTCAGCTCTGTTTTTGTTAACAAAGTGGTAGGGAGGCCATGTTTGGAGACATGTAAACCAATGTGGAACAGACAGTACCTGTGCAGATGTATAGAATTCTGAGATGAAAGAAACAAAGCCGTACTTGTGCTGACTCTTCATCTGTTCAATCTGGTCCCTCAGGTCTCTCAGTTCTGTCTGCAGCTGTTCCAGGTTCGGTGGAGAGTGTTTGTCTGGATTTCTGCTCGGCAGGTCAGAGTTGAGGCCCGGTGGCAGTGTTGGATGTAGTACGGCAGAGAGAGCTTTCGGCAGAAGGGAGGAGAAGGACTCCGTGGGCACATTTTTGGGTACCGCTGCCTGTGGAGAGTAACAAACAAAATGTGGAAATAATGATTTACCATCAGTACCACCTCGTGGAAAGTGTGTGTGACCTTTATCTTTTCTTTTACACTTACAGGCAGCGCATTCTCACTGGTTTCCTGAGTGCTTTCTTGTGGCGTTGAAGAGTTCAGCTCTTCACTCTGGTTTTTGTTTCTTTCCTCCTCCATCATGAGTGTTACCTGTAAATCAAGTCTAGTTTGAGACATCTGATAAATCAAAGGACGTTGAGAAATCCATGTTTAGGAAATTCTGAGATTTGCTTTGAATCACATGATACAGACAATGATGGTTGAAAAGATGTGGAGTAAGTGTTCACTCTGAATTTGTCTTTCAGGATTTTTTGGGTGGGAAATGGTGACTTGATTACACACTGGAGTCATAATAACACTATAATTCTGTAAAAACTAAAGCATCAGAGTTTCTCCCGCTCGATCTTAAGTTACTACACCCACTGCAGCCGACAGTTTGCTTGCTTTTTATGCATCTTCAATTGATGTCAGATATTGTCGAACACTGCAGCTTGTTTACTGAAATTTCCTAAGAATCATGAGATGAAGAAAAAGTGCAGAGATTTAGTGAAGAGTCACATTGATGGAGAGCTGAGGATCACCCCAGTGACTGAATAGTTTTACAAACTTTAAGCAGAAACAACTGAGTTTCTGAATAATCTGCTGAAAGGAGATGAACAGACTACCTCCTTCCCTCCTGACCCGTCAACATAATCGGCAGTACACGTCCACCAAAATGTGTCAGCTGTCTTGTGTGCTTGGTTTATCATTATAGTAGACTGACAGCTGACAAGGGATGAAAACATCTCATATCTTCAGTGAACGCTTGAGATTTCACATCTAACCTGTTTGGTTTGGTTAAAACTAACTGCACAGTTCACTGGACTTATGTGACATCTGTCAATCGGCACCTTCAGCAGACACACCCCCAAACATTTCAGAGCTTCCTTTCTCACAATTTTGAAACCTAATTAAATATACTTGCCAATTTTTCAATCATTTAAATTTCCTGAGTGATAAAAACACTTTTCTGTTCTGTAGTAAATGCACATAATAAACCCAATATTGTTCCCGTTTGTAGCGTAACTGAATCCCAAAAGAAGCTTTTCAACTCAGCAATGACGGACCACCCAGTAAAATCCTGAAAACATAGCTTATATTTACAACCAGGAGCGTCCATTTAACCTTTGTTTTCACTAAGGAGCCAAAGCAGATTTCTTCTGCGGCCGTACGTGTCTGTGTGTGTATGAGGCAGCTCAGAAAAGTTAAATTTATCCCAAGGACAGATGGGACACAAACAGACCAGACCACACACACTCTTCTCAAACAGGGCACCAAGTCAGAACAGTGTTATTTAAGTGGATGACATAATAATGGAATGGCTTGACTTGTAGATGACTGTTATTAAAAATGTATACTTCCCAGAGTCTGAAGCTCTGACTGTAACCTCTCATCTGCAGCATGAGCTACCTGCTCATTCAGCTTCTCCGCGACAGACACAATTGAACCAAACTCTTCAGTGTCTTTGAGAGAAACGGACAATAAATGACACAACTTTTTCCTTTTTTTTTGGATTTTACAGCCTGCATTAACACTCAGACTTTTCTTTTTTTGTTGTTGAGCATGCAGCATCCAAGCATGGTAGTAATTTAACAGATACAATATTCATGAGGCTTACCAGGAATGAGGGCTGAACTATAGCTGCCCATCGTGACAAAGAGGAATACAAGTGCAGAGAGTGAAAGACAGAAAAACCTGCAGAGCCTTTAAGTCTACATCTACAAAACGACAGATGGGAGCAAGTCAGTGGAGCAGAAATCAACAGAAACTCGTCGGCACGGTGCAGCAACACATCATGCTGTTTCTTTAAATTAAAAAAAAAATCAATTTTTGCTGTTTAATTATTACCTGTTTGCTCTTCGTAATAACACAACTTCAACTTGTAAAACAGGCTTTATCAAAGTGGGAGACTCTAAATGTGGGTGTTACACTAGAAGCAGCTGTTTCTCTCATGCCACAGCAGTGAACAAATGTGCAACACATGCTGGGACCAGCGCAGCGACACATTACGCAATCATTAGTAAACACACCAAACCAATTACCAGATTATTAGTCGGTTACAGTAAAAGGGTCTGGCGCGTACGCTCACCTTGTTTTCCCAGCGTCACCGGTGAGAAACAGCAGCATCTGTGGTAACTCGACACCGTCCATTGTGATCCGCAGTGGTCTGCAGAGTATGTTGTGATGAGGAGCGGTACTGTCAGGGCTAAGTTTAGAGCAGGACAGAGTGCAGCTCCAGTCGGTGCACAAATATCACAGGGGCAAGAGCGAAGGGCGACGCAGACGGAGGGGTGACGGGCGGGTTTGAAGAAGGAGTCAAGATTGAGGATTTGCACCTCAGAAACTGTTTTGATTAATTTGCTTCCATAGCAGTACTTAAAGGGCAACTCCACCAAATTTTCAACTGACTTTTTATTATTCTAAAATTGGAATCAAACTACATAAAGTGTATCTTACTTCCTTCCATGTCTCTTTCCTGAACTATAGATTTACGTGGAGGAGTTTAGCAGAATCCAGCCAACAAATTGTAGTCCTGTTCAGCTGTAGCAGCTTCCTGTTCAGGAAGCTGCTTGGGAAGGAGGAGATCACACGGCACTCTGGTCCTTGTAGGATGTTTTCCTTTTATGCAACAGTCGTTTTTCTCTGGTTCACCAACAAAACAAAAGACCACCCATCACAACATATAGACTAGTTTTAATGCATAACTTGCTTTCCAGCAAAGCAAGTAAACTCCCATTCATTAGGGACATGTCTATTTTATTGCAATATACTCATCATAAGGAGAATTGTTTTCCCATTGAGACAACAGCTATGTTGATTGTGGCTCTGGAGGGAAATGGCAACATTTTTAAGGGTAATTGCAGCTTAGAATGAATTTAAACAGAAAGGAAATATGTCACTGAACTGTGAAATGTAAGATGAAGGATTTTTGGCATTTGAACCATATCAGGAACTAAAATTTGCCTTTGCCTCTAAAGCTACAATTTTCAAGGGAAGTCTGCAAAATCCTGCAATTAATTCTCAATTAGTTTTTTGTTTTTAAAAAATTTGCGTTTCTTTTTTTTTTTTTACATAAAACCCACAATCATACAGACATTCCAGGAAATAATTCTAAAACAAACCCCAAACAAACAAAAAACAAAACTAGTATATTATAAGCTATGCTAGTTTGAAAAAAAGTTTTTCATGCAGTGTCAGACTTCTGTTCAAATCTACATCAAAACCAAGACAATCCTCAGAGTGTGTTAAACCTCATTTTATTTAAAGTGTCAAATTTACCATGTGATTACAAGTTTTACAAGTAGTAGCTAAGTTCAGCTGACGAGCCGTTTTCTAACCAAAACACTCAGGAATTAAATAGGACATCCTACGTCATGAGTCTTTACAGACAAATGTCAGAGAGCAAAGTAAATGTTTCTCACTGGACCTGAAATGAACTGCTGCTAGTAAACAACAGAAAACTGCTACCACTTCTTTAAGCGAAACAATGACTCCCAAGATCACAAGCAGCATATTTCTATTTATCAAACATGTGAAAAAGCAGGAGAGAACAATATAATGGCGTATGTTACAAATATTCTAAAACAAAGTACTGTAGTACTTCAAAAGATGCACCTCACACTGGTACCAGAGATGAAATGTAAAGCAACAGCACTTTCACAATACAAAGCATGTTGGGATTGCAGTGAGGGTTTGTGCAGTCCACCCAACAGAGAAGCTCTCGATGACAAATTTCAGGACTCTCCAGTTTCATATTCGCACCATGTTGGACCTGTGGTGGTACCATATAAAACATAAATAAATTCATTATTTGACCATGACTTTTTTTGAAGCACTTAATGTGTGTTTATACATGGCTGCTAAGCAGTACTCATCACGTCTATTCTGCATTTGTTGTCTGTCCAACTACACGTTGTGCAGGCACTGATGTTTTACACAAATTAATTAAATTTAAATCGCTTTGACATGATGAATCAAGATCTGTTTGCACAGCAGAGTGATGCTAAGTAGGAAATGTGGCAACTTTCAGGTTAAAGATAAACAAAACTTTACTTTTTGAAACCATCCATTCAAATTGCCAGGCTGCACAACTCACCAACGGTTATCACCAGCGTTGTTGGTTGGGTCCTCGGTTGTACGGTGCACGCTGACGCAACACTCTCATGTTGCGGTATTTAGACATGATGCTGTGACTTTTCCTGAACACTGGTCTCTGGGTTGGGAAGGGACGTGGCACTAAGCTCTCCTTGTGAAAAACAAGAAATTAAATATTGCTTACTAAGTATGCAGAGTCTATGAGCTTTTGGCATCTTCCAGATAAAGTAACTGATCTCAGCTGAGATGTGCTCACCATAAGTGGTCTTCTCACAGGTCCAGTCACATCTGGGATCGGCCTCCTTGGACCACCAGGGAATCTTGGCCGCTGTAATACACAATGACGGATGAGTAAATACAGTGAGCAATTATCAAAACATTTCTACTACACTGAACAAAAATATAAATGCAACACTTTTGTTTTTGCTCCCATTTTTCATGAGCTGAACTCAAAGGTCTAAGAGTTTTTTCTATGTACGCCGGTTGGATGTTCTCCCAAACTCTCTGAAACACCTTTGGAGACAGTTTATGATAGAGAAATGAACATTCGATTCACAGGCAACAGCTTGGGTGGACATTCCTGCAGTCAGCATGCCAACTGCACACTCCCTAAAAACTTGCGACATCTGTGGCATTGTGCTGTGTGATGAAACGGCACTTTTACAGTGACCTTTAACTGTGGCCAGCCTAAGGCACACCTGTGCAATAATCATGCTGTCTAATCAGCATCGTGATATACCACACCTGTGAGGTGGATGGATTATCTCACTAACAGATTTAGACACATTTGTGAATATTTGAGAGAAACAGGCCTTTTGTGTACATAGGAAAAGTCTCTTTGCGTTCAGCTCATGAAAAATGGGAGCAAAAACTTTTATTTTTGTTCAGTGTATACATCATTCAAAAGCCATTCTGTTCTGTACTTTGATTTTTAACACTTACGCAAATTTAAGAGGCTGAAAAAACAGTTAACAGTAACGGCGTCCATGCCGATGTCATTCAGGGGAAACATGCAGATTAAAAATATGCATGTTTGGCTTTTTACCACTGCATTACACAGCAGACTTTCTCCATGGATTCCCTTACCTGCATGGGTCCTGGTCCTGGTCTCCTGAAGGGCCTCCCAGATCTGTTGTCCTGCATCATATTAAATGGCCTGTAAAAACATTAAGCGGATCAGAAACTGGACAGCATCTGCATGAAGCTTGAACTTTTGTTTCATTTTTGTTTATGTAATTCAAATGTGACATTTTTGTGCCCGAGAAAATTTCTCTACGCAGCTAAAAAAGGTGAGGGCAGCAGAGTCAGTCATTGAGAAACACTGGATTCAGTGAACCAGAAGATCTGACAATGCTCGTCTTTAATGTACCTAAACATCCTCTTGTCCAAATATCCACGTTTTCTGTCTTCAGGTGGTGATCTGGAATCACTGCTCTTTGACAGTCGTCTGTTCGGGGAAGTTTCTCCATCTGAACTGCGTTCTTTAAAAAGACAAAAATCAGGGGCATAAGCTGAAGCTGGAAACAATCAAACTCAAAGAGCAAAGAAAAGCATGTCAAACTTTTTACACATATCAGAGCTTATGAACTGCACAACAGTCACGCCCCTCTGGATTCTTCTTACAACACACAAGATCAAGTAAAGAATCGACTTACCAGACTTTGACTTTGGGCTGCGATCCTTTGGAGGTGAGCAGTCCTTGGAGGAGGAGCTCGGTCCGGGTGGCCAGTGGGACAAAACAACAAGATCACGTTTCTCAATGGGAGAAGATCTGAGGAGGGAAGTCATAAAGGTTGTGTTACAGTCGTCAGTGTTCCAATCCCACCAACAGCACAGCTTCCAAGTAATCCATCTTTAAAAACAGACTGCAAGTAAAAGGTCAAATTAACCTGTCAGCTCATAGAAATAATGCAATTTAAGCCAGTAATGAACAGCACTGTTTTGCAGGCAGATAAATGATCATAAAGCCACGCATCACTTGGGTACTTACAAAAACCATGGAATGTCCATGCTTCTTTACTCCTATTTTTGTACCCTGAGACAATCTGAGCTGTCTTCATTTACTCAGTGATTGTTAGAGCAGCCAAATCGTGGAGGACTTTAAGACACAGATCACATCACCAAATCTTCTATCATCTCTCTCTCAGAGGCACAGGAGGCCAATGCCTTGTTTTCACTCTTGGACTGAACTTTAGGTTTTATCATCAGGTCATTCCCAGTTCTTCTATTAGTCATCGTCGTCATCATCATCATCATCCCAAGGGCTTCACAAGAAGCCCATTTGATACCAAGGACGTCTGTAGTTCTGGACAAAATGGACGAATGCATACAGACTGGTGATTCTGTCAGCTTAGAAGCTTCTTCTCCATAGTTGTGGTTTTAAGAGATGATCCGATGTCTGTCCACAAACAAGTCCAGCTTTCAAGGTAACTTTCTCAAGGCTTTGCAGTGCCCATAAAGGAGACTTCCATCCCATGAGAATTCCTACTCTTCTTTAAATTCGGGTTGTTGGGTATGGCTGAAAAAAAGGTTGTCTGGTTCTGGAGTCAAGGAGCTAGCCCAGTGCTCTGTCTTCCTCTTCTGCAGTAGTTTAAGTTACAGTGGGACGAAGAACTGATCATCTTTTATCCATCACACTCAACAAGCAAAGTCTTCATAGGCTTAAATGAGCAGGTTTGGGCTTCACATTTTCGGTGCTGTAGATTTTAGTTGTATTAGCCTTGTAAAGTGGCTCATGAATGTTTTCATTTCCATCAGACTCATGATGCACACCTCTGATCATTAGATTTAGGTCACACGCCAAATAGGAAACAACAGGACATGCGGACATGTAGATCCAGCCAAAATTCACACAGAAGTTAATCAGGTTGTCTGGTAAAAATGCAAGACAAAGCCGACCTCGCTTCCATCTCAATGCAGCACCATGTTAGAATTCCTGCCCCTTGGGATCTCCTTTCATCTTGTTCACATCCATTTAACTCCATTCTGATTGGTCCATGTTGTCTCATCATTTGCGTTTCATCCTTATTAGAGTTGATGGTGTTCTTTTGTGGTCTCAGCCAATATATCTTTTTCCAGAAATTTAAAATAATACTTCAAGACTCATTTAACTGGAGGCATTTGAACAGATGTGCCCATCTAGTAGATCTGTGTTCACGGATTTGACTCTGGCGAAAGCTGATGTGACCATCTTTGATGTATTTCATCACAACATTTCCAAGACGATTCTCCAGCTTTGACATGATGATTATCTGGCGCATGGCTCCAAGTGTGGGAGTTATAGGAATGCTTCTTAAACTTCTTGTGAGCTTGAAGAAACAAAAGAAACTCCACTGCTAAAATGCACTATGTGAAATGCAAGTAGTAGCAGTTTGGCTCCTCTTCATTGTCCTAATTCTGATTTGGAATGGTGCAACACCATTATGCCTTTATATTTCAGCTGTTGCAGAATCATGCATTTGATTCTGATAAATGGGTCCTTCTGGCATAAATGAATTCACTTTACTTCCATTTCCACTTCTTTGTGACACATGAACTGGCCATTACTTGATGACGTGTGCATATGAAAAAGTATACATCTGATGACTGCATGAGGACAATCGAATCAAAAAAAATGTTTTTTAACGTGTTCCAATTCTTTGTCTTGGGTTTAACTATTTTTCTGTAGCAAAAATGTTTTAGTGTAACCACTTTGGAGGTTTACAAAAACCATTACTGGTACTTTGTAACTGAATTATGCTCCTTTTACTTTGTGAGTGACGATAAATGTATCTTCCTTTTGCCAGCTAACTGATAGAGGCAAGCAATGATCTCCAGCAACAAAACTTCCTCTTCTGCATTTTATGGCTTTGGCTGTTTGTTGTCAGCAATCATCATCATCATCATCACCGTCATCCATTGTGGACATATTTGAAGCACAGCGTGTGTTCTTGGAAATTCCTGGATCAATCATGCCACTTGCCTTATATTTTGTCTTAAATTGGACATGCAATGTTGACACATCTCTTTTCCCCCAGGCCCATGCATAGCTGACCGGTTTCCAGTTATTTATAAGTTGCAGCATGGCAATTTCAGCTTAGGTCATGTTAAATGCAGTCCTCTTCATCTCCATCAACTGTCTTGTTCTGCATACAGAAATATACTGCTTCCCACTACATGTCAGAACTTCAGGGTCAATTCACTTTTGCTCTCTAGTGAGGACAAAGGGGTCATCTCAACATGCTGAAGGGTTTTAAGACCGTAAATGCTGAGAAAAAGCAGAATCCTTTAACAGCCCAGCTCAACTACTTTTTCCACATTCCTCATCACGGTTTTTAAACATTTGTGCCGGGAATTAAAACAGGTTGGCTTTAACGACGTGCTGTGTGACCGGAGAATAAACCTTCTCTTCATCCGACTGGACAGGTAGGTACTTTGACACATATGTAGCACGCAGATAGGGGGGGCATTTGAATACATTTGTGGCTTTTCCTCAACTGAACCACTGTTGCACATTTAGCTCATCACGATATCTCCATTTTCCAAAGCTGGCATCACTTTCACACAGAGACATTCTTTGTTGACCTCCTAATCACCATCAAGCCCCTGCGAACAGTGCGACAAGGAAAATACCGTACCTGTGTGTGTTCAAGGACCGGCGAGACTCCACCTGTTCTTTTCCTGTGTCAGAGTCTCTTGAAGACTTGCTGGTATTGCTTTCTTCTCTGGAGGGTGACTGTTGTGGTTTTGCTCTTCGTGGCTCCAACTTTTTCAGAGGAACTGCATTTAACTGGAAACGTTTCTTCCTGATGGCAAGAAGAGAGGTGAGGTTTCCTCGTGGTGCAGAGTCACCAAGGCGAGGCCTGGGTTTCATAGCTGGGGGTATTCTGAGCCTCATGAAAGGCTCTGCTCTGATTTGACGGCTCTTAATTAGGAAACTTTTATCCCTAAGTGACAAAGGTCTACCACCAAATGGCCTGGGAATACTGAGCAGCTGAGGTCGCTCTCTCCGGGGCTGTTTTGCGTTGCCATGCTCCAGTGCAGGGTTTGACAGGGGCATGCTGATGTCTGACATCCTCCTCTTGCGGGGTCCTGCCACTTGCCTCTCCTGAGGGTTCCTGTGATAGGTGGATGACGGTGATGGACCTCCTTTCCATGCGGGGGGTCTGTAAGGGGGCAGGTGAGGGACATCTTGTGCCCTCTCTCTACTGTGGGATCGGCTGCCCTGCCTCTTCACTGGACCACGCTGGCGTCTGGAGTCTTGCTCAGATGACCACCTGCATACCCATCAAACAATAGAGAAATCATTACAATGACAGATCCATTGCCATTTAAAGTGGGAGGTGGAACTTTAAACTTTTATCTTAATGCAGCCCCTTCATAAAGCCATGATAGAATGAAACAGGTAAGAGATGTAAATTGTCAAAGACCAATTACAGATGTAACACTCCTCTCAATGGCAGCTGAAACCACATTTACATCAGACTAATAATAAATATGAGCTGGAGCTCAGCAGAGGCGATTATTACAACCCGTGTCACTGGGAGGGCTGGCCAGCTTCAAGCCTCCTCTCTAATAAATTTACCCAGCTGGGGTTGTTGCTTCACTCCTGTACCTCTCTGTACACGAGCCTCTCCCATGCATCTCTCTGGGGCTCCTCTGTGACCCAGAGGGCCCGTGTTGTCCATTGTGTGGATGAGAGAACGATCCAGCCTCATTCCAGCGTTTCATGCCATGACCCGAGTGTTCAAAGGGCCTTTCTCGTTGACTATAACTCCCACGAGGGTCTCGTCCACGCTGCTCCTGGTGGGGAACCCCTGACTGCCTTCTGGGGCCCCTGTAAGATCCCTGGTAGGGTGGTGCAGAGCCTTGCCTCCTGTCAGCTGGGTGGCCACGGAAATTTCTTGGGGAGGGTGACCTGTGGCCTGAGGGGTGGCCATGGAAAGATGGGCCCCTATGGCTCTGGTGTCCTTGTGCAGGACTGTGAGAGGATGACTGATGCTGGACTTGAGGGGAGCGATTTGGCCTAGATGGAGAAGGCCTCCTCTGGTTATGGTGTTGATCCATTTTGGGAGGGTATGTTTGAAAGGAATCCTGATTCTGTGACCTCCAGTGATTGAACCGTGGCTCTCTGTGTTCTCCCATCAGAGGAACTCTTTTGACAACTGGGGGTCGTCCTCTACCTCTGGAGTCTCTCCAATTAAATGGAGCTTTTCCTGGGTAGCCCTGGACATCTCTTCGATTTTTGGAGTTGGGGTTGTAGTTCCCTTCAGAGGGTCCATTACCGTGACCATCTCCATATGGTCTGACAGGACACAACAAAAAGAATTAGTAAATGACAACACATACTGCCACTTCAAATCATTTTGGAAAACTATGAGCAAGCATTCATTTTAAATCACAATCAGAACTCAAAACTAAATATTTAATAACCATACCACCACAGAATGCGAGTCAAACTATACCTGACAGAAAGATATTACCTGGGCTTTAGGCGAGGCGGTCCAAAATGTGTTCGGACCATCTTTGGAAGTAAGTTAATACTGTAGGGACAAAAAAGAAGACATCATACTGAATGTGACAGCCAAAAGTAGATACAATGCCAGATTCCTCTTCGACTCCTAAGTTTGACCTTATCTGACTCCAAAGTTGAATCAAGTGTGAAACTGAGTCAGTTGTCTACATGTTGTCTTCATCAAGGTTAGTTCCAAGTAAAGCTAAGTTTCAATTCCAGTTAAGTTTCTTTTACTTACCCTCTATTACTTCTATTTAATCTCACTTATATTGTGGACGTTCAGGTCAGTCAGTCGATAAAAGCTGAATTAACATCATTACTAAACAACATTTTAATACCAATAAAAATAAAGTCAAAATTGTTGTAAAAAAACAACAAAAAACTATGGGCTACTTTAGAAGTATGTGTAACTTGGTGGGACACAACATGCAAAAGTTCTGGTAGATTAATCGTAGCAACCGGACTTGTTTGAGTTCCTTGAGGACGTTTCACCTCTCATCCAAGAGGCCTCATCAGTTCTGACCAACGAGCTGGGAGTTCCAGATACTTATATGCTAATGGTTTGAACCGAAACTCAGGTGTTAATGGCTCCTTTAGCATATAAGTATCAGGAACTCCCAGCTAGTCAGTCAGAACTGATGAGGCCTCTTGGATGAGAAGTGAAACGTCTTCAAGGAACTCAAACAAGTCCGGTTGCTATGATTATTCTACCAGAATAGCCATGACCTGGATGACTGAGAATCCTCACAGACAACATGCAAAAGCATGATTATCCTTTAAATTAACATTTTTAAAGACTCAATTTGAACACATGTTAAACTGAAGAAATCTGTGACAACAAACTAACAGTGTAATAAAAAAAAATTCACTTGCTCAGTATAAAAGCTGCTTTAGGTTGTTCTGTGCAGGAACTATAATTCAAACAATTACAAACAAATGGTAAATGCATATTTCTTTACCAGGTACGGTCACATATCTGTACAGTCAACCCACTGCAACATGTAAACGATTACTCAAGGATAAAAGTTCAGTCAGAAGTTAGTCTAATCAGTACTATCAGTACTAACAATCACTATTGATTAGATTGGAAGACGCCCATTGTAGTCCAACTCCTTCCTTTCAAATGCATCTATAAAACATCTAGGAGCCACACCTTTTAGTAAGAAAACGAAATTTAAACTCCAATTTAACAGACTAGTATAATATAGGCGTTTACATGAACGTTATTTAAAGAAGTCTTCCAGGCTGCTCGGGAAAAACTTATCTGCAGCAATTTCCCCACCAGGGAGTGTTGAAACCTGTTGTACTTTACCCACGCCATGTGCTATCTTTTAGTCAATACTCTCGTACCATAAGATCATGGTACAAATTTTTAAAAAGAATAAATACATTATACGTAACAACTATATGAAAAGCCACATTTTCCATTCTCTTGTTTGTCAATTATTTTTCCTGACACATGTGGCGAAATATTAGAGTCTCCATGTTAAATTCAATTTCCCTACCAAAATAAATGCATCTAAACGAGACAATAAATGTTTCTCATACCGCATTTGTATTCTAAACTTGGATGAGAGCATCTGAATTATTTGGATACGTCTACCCTGGATTAGATGTGTTTGCTAAGGGTTAGCTATGTTTACTATGGATCGGCTGTGTTTACTATGGTGGCCGCTGCTTCGGTTTCACTCCTGATCCTGGTTGAGGAGCGGAGCAGATCCCTGCTGCCATGTTTAGCATTAGCTGGTTAATACAACCCGACCCAGTCATTATGTTCGTTCTGCAGGGAACCCAACCCAAAAACTGAAGTGGTGAGTACACCATGTTAACATTCACCCTGGGTTTATATTTATCAACACGAACATGGAAATGCAGCTCGAGTTGCGCAAACAGTTTTATATTTTTTGCTAATTTCTCTAACGGCAGCTAGCAACCGTAACGCTCGACGCAGCTCTCACAAAATGGCATTCGCATCGGTCACTTGAGTCATTTGAGCAGCTTTAGCAACATGTTGCGTAAAATAAATCACGAAACGTTACGCTTAGCTGACTCCCGACAAATACAACTTAAAACTATAGTGAAGTACTTACCAAGAACAGGCGAGGGTGAGGCGAATACTACGTGCGACACAGTAAAGCAGCTCTCGCACTCTTCCTCGTCGCACCGCTCCCCTTTAAGGCAGCGCCAGAGCGCCACTCTTGAAGCGCCACCTGCCGCCCCGGAGGAGGAACTACACGTCGACAATTCGTCTTTGTTTTAAATTTAAATTCTGCACCTCATCCATCTTTTTAGGTACACATAGGCAAAACGTAATCTAATTCAGAAGCCTTTAATGAACTCAATGACGGTTTTATCGTCAGTTTTATTTTATAGTTTATTTTTAAGGGTGTCTGTGTAGATTCCCAGTCATCAAGGTAATCATGGTAATCACAAGAGTTTCAATAAAAGCGCACTGCGCCTCTCACTTTTTTTGTTCTTGAAGAGTCTTCTTCAGTTCAAAATGACTGATGAGGGATCCCAGATGTATTTCCTAACCTGTGGACAGTGGTTAATCAAAGAGCCGATACTCACATACATGCCTGAAGGTGTGAATGGTTGTGAAACTGCCAGGTCAGTAGTCACTCAGTATGTTAATAGCATTGAAATTTTCTGGGGAGAGATCTCAAGTACCTGATAAGTGATTTCGTCGACTCCCTCCTCTTTTAGAGGTTTGTGTTCCAGCCTAATACAGATGACTTCTTTCATTCCTCTCTCAGGCCATGTGTCTTCTCTGTTCTGAAAGTTTTAGGGGAAAGGACTCCTCAAAGGAATGCCCCCTCTCTTTTGCATGCAGGTGGACTGCTGAGTCATGATCTGAGGAGCTGGTTCTCCTGTGCTGAGCCATGCACTTGTGGAGCAGTTGTGCAGTCTCTTCTATATATAGGTCAGTGCATTCCTCCCTCTGTTGGACTGTATGTACTAAATTGCTCAGCTTCAGACTGAACCAGTTTTCATGTCAGATGTTTAGAGAGAGTCCTTCTAAGATTCTCAGACACACCAGCTACATTACCAGCAGTTTTTCTTCTCTGTTTAATGTTGTGCTTTTTTCCACATCTCTTTGCTCCACTAATAAAGGCCCAGTTAGATTAGCAACAGGTTTTAAGTGCTTTCTTAACATGTGTGTGTTCCTTTTCTTTCCCCTTCATCTTGGTGCACACATTGACAGTACTCAAAACTTACAACTGTGAAAATATCCAATGATAATAATAATAATTTTGTTGGCAAACAGCATAGTAGTTTTGTAATTTCCTCCTTTGTGCATTCAGTTACTAATGTCTGAACAGCTTCATTGCATAAGCACACATTACCACAAAAACAAAAACACAGAACTCCCAGTTTTACACTTTATTGTTTCAGATAACACTGTTATGACCATGCTTACCATGCACAATGTCTACAGTAATTACATAACTTAAAGACTGTGATGTGTGGGTATGAGCAGACTTGAATAGTTTTTCAACTGACTGTAATTTCTTTATGCTCATTTGCTTTTACGTAAAATCAGTCCTATTAGCGATAAAGACTGCAACATAACTGCAAAGTATAAAGCAAATCCTAACTCACAAATACTGTATGTTTCTGTATGGCTACTTCACTTAAGACTTTTTCAGCTACGGGTAATCTGAGGAACACAAACCTAAATTTCTCCTTATAAGTGAGATAACAGTGTGTCCAAGCTGTCGCTATAATTATCTGCAGCATGTCGGAGATGATGCATTTCAAACCAAGGTTCAAGTATTACAGGTGACACACAGCTATCCCAGTGATCAAATGGAAAGATAAACACAGAAATAAAGAAACTGGTTAGTCCCTTATAAGGCATCTCTACTGAAATTACATTTTTGGCAAAACACATGAAATGAATAACTGCAATTATTTGTCTTTTTCTAATTTGCTCAAGATGTTAAGGAGCCCACTGAATAGTTCCTGCACATGACAGAGCGATGGAAGGAGACAAACCTTAACGGCAAACAGCATTTTTATAGCTACAGGATAGACATACAAGTTGGTTGTTAAACACACATTCCTGCTTCAGTGCACTTCAGACTGACACATCAACAGCCTGATATCTACTCAGTGGAACGAATGTCTAATAGATCTGTTTGCACTGAGTCGATCACAGCAAGGTTCTCCCACCGAAAAAAAAATGACGTGAAGTTGCTCAGCTGTCTGCATTTTCATCATTTGAAGCCAATTTCATCAGAAGAGTTATTAAATAAAGGGTACCTTGCTTGCTTGATTACTGTGTAGTTGTAATAGAGTCCAAGTAAGAGATTTCTTCTGATGCTGTACCATCATTTGTGTTGATGCCAGGATTTTTTTTTTCTTTATTGTGCAGCAGCATTCAAGTTGACAGTTATGGCCTCATATTTCTCAGTCACATGCAGTTAGAAAGCCTCAGCTAAAGATCAAAAAGAGTCAAAGGGAATCATGTCATAGCTAAGGATTTTTTAAAAAATTGAACAATCCCATGACTGCACATCACTGGGTTAAGAGGAAAGGATCGCTGCGGTTCTGACAGCCTGGTTGGATTTTAGTTTGCCAGATAAATTCCATCTGAGTCAATGCATGCATGAATAACATTACCTAGAAATAACATTTTTAAGTATTAAAAACTAGGCCATTGTTAAAATGAAATCGTCATGCCTTCCCCTGCATCACACTGAGTTTGATTTAAAGGCTTGATGCAGTCACTGGTGCTCTGAGCAGGCTTTAACACTCCAGTGATGGAACTTAACTGGGACCCAGTGAGGAAAAAAAACAACTGAGAATCTTACCAAGCTAGTGTAAGCTAGTAGTTTGTTTTCTAAATTCCTATAATATTCAAAACCCTGATATTTGCCTTTTTTTGTCATTATGTCACAAATCTACACAAACACACATTCTCTCCATGACTGTCTTACAAATGCACATCTTACACTTAACAAGATTAGACCGGATCTTAAACATGTCATTTCTGTGCCCAGCTGCTATGTGATTAGTACGCAGGAGGCATTATTTTTATATTGCATGTCATAGTTAACTTTTTTTTTTTAGACAATCTCTATGGCTCTATTTCCATAACTGTGGCGACACAAGGGCAAAATGCGACAACCTGTGTGTGTGACAGAGAGAAGAGAGAGCGAGAAGGCAAGCAGGAGAGCTGGAGAAAGAGAGGGACTACTGGACGCTAAGTTTATTGGAGGATGGAGGCGACACCCCAATGAGCTTTGAGTCTGACATGGGACTAACAACGCCCTCGATGAGGTTCTTGTTGCAGTCTCCTATGTTGCTATCAGAGGACAGTTTGGGGTAGGTGGCACTTCCAGTCAGGTCTATGAGATCTTCCAGAGCTCGAGTGTTACTCATGCCACTGTGCTGCATTTCGTTGATGGGTGAGAACTCTGGGATTGAAATGAGCTCTTCCCTTGAAGCTGGGCTGAAATATATTAATAAAAACAAGCAATTAGATGTAATATTCAGGTTTTAAAAATGAAAATCAGTGGCGCTCTTGATGACTGTGTGTAAAGTGGTACAAAATATAGTGGTACCTATATATTTTTTTTCACAGTAAAGTCATCATATCACATTTCCTCAGTTCACACTTCAGTAACAAATGTTTACCTGCAGACTCACCTGACCTCCATCGACTGCACCTCATCACCAGACCCTGTTCGCTTCACATCTAGAGGCTCCAGCTTGATGATTGGTAGTGATCCCACTGGTAGGGGCGTCACAGGGGGTCTAACAACTTCCACCCGGGACCCTCCTTGAGCCTTTCCCTCAGCTGATGTCACATCCAGGCTTTTCTGTTTGCTCACTTCAGCAGTTCGATGACTGCTCACCAAGGCACTTCCTTCACCCTTCACCGCTCCGTTCATCATGCTTCCCTCCCTTTGGTTAACTTTGGCATCTGCTGCCGGCTTCGTCGGCCCTTTATTTGTTTGGTCTGTGACTTTCACATTTGTGTGCTGCTTGTTTACATTCACTTCCGTCTCTTTTCCCTGCTGCTTGAGAACGCAAGCTTTGGCGTCTTTGTTAAGGTGGCTGCTTTGCTCTTCGCTGCTCTGTTTGGCGTCGGGTCTCTTGTCGGGAACATTGTGTGTCGGTGCCGCAAGATGGGTGTTGTTTTTAACTTGCGCGCTCTTCTGATTGTCCATCGGCGATGCTGCTTCTTTCTTCACGGCCTCTTTTGTTTTGACCTGGACCTGCTGTTTAACCTGAAACTCAACCTTTTTGACTGCCTGCTCGCTCACCTGAGCAGTAGTTTGAACAGTCTTTACATCCCCTGTGGAGAGTAAAAAACATCACAGTGGGCCTCACTTTATTTGGACTGTCCAGTCATCATCATCTGTTTAAGCTTGAATAGAAGATGCTAGGGATTTGTCCAAAGTTCAACTCAAGAATGGCAGCATCCATCCATCCATTATCTATACATCACTTAATCCTCACTAGGGTCGTGGGGGGGCTGGAGTCTATCCCAGCTGACTTAGGGTGAAGGCAGGGGACACCCTGGACAGGTCACCAGTCTATCACAGGGCTACACTTAGAGACAGACAACCAAGCACACTCACATTCACACCTACGGACAATTTAGAATCACCAATTAACCTCAACATGTTTTTGGACTGTGTGGGAGGAAGCCGGAGAACCCGCAGAGAACCCATGCTGCATGAGGAGAACATGCAAACTCCACGCAGAAAGAACTGGCGACCTTCTTGCTGTGAGGCAACAGTGCTACCAACTGCGCCACCTTGCAGATAATCGCAGCAGATGTCACATAATACCACCGTCATAAATATCGAAAGTGGATCAATTGTAAAACCTGAGTTGAGAATTAACACTGGACAGCTCAAACAAAGTGTTAGCTCACACTGTGCAGGGCAGTCCCCTGGAGAGAATGCTTAATAAATCTTCCAAGGGCATTTTCAAGAGCAGCTAATTTTGCACTCAGCTCCCATGGTGCTGCTCTACAGTGAAAGGTGCCCTATCAGCACCAAGAAAAAAGTCCTTGGCTGCTGCTCCATATTCCACCATGTGACGTATAAACCCATCACAGATTCACAATGCAGGGCGCAAACAATATGTTGCTTGGTCAACTTCTTCTGAATACCCAAAGCTTTGGAATTATTGCATAACAGGACAATAACAGGAATGCAGGAACAATATTGGTGTCTGTTCTCTACTGAGAATTCACACAAGCCAACAAATATTTAGATAACACATGCTCAAAATTAGCTAATACAGGGTTTAAATCATAAACCATACATGCCCTGTTTGCATTTTTACAGCTGCAAGGCATACAGCGAGGGGTGGAGAAAGCAAGGACAGCAAGCAAACTTAAAGCATCTGCGGGGCGACTGAATAAAATACTAACCTGCAGACTTCGCCTCCGCCTGCTCCTCCTTCTGATTCAATGCAGAACAGAGACAACCAACAAAGTTTGTGGCAATCAGGACACAAAACCAAAGTATCACCAACAATAGAATTTAATAAAGATATTAACAACAGAAAGTTTAATAAATTAAATTTGCAAAAAAAACATCTGGTTTACACAATCAGCAGGCGCTTAAAGGCAGCAGGTTTACTGTATGAGAGCAGAAGGTGTCTCTTACAGTACCTTCAAGTCAGCTTCACCCTTCCTAGTTCTCTTCATGATCTCCTCAATTCTCTGCAAAGATATAGTGACATTCAATCATTTTATGAGACAATAGTGACGTCAGTGCAAAATGCATTCAGAATACAATGTTGTTTCTTCCTACTGAGGGTATTTCTGCATAAAATAACCTTTTTCCTGAGCTGCCTCTCCTCCTCTTCTTGTTGCGCCTGCAGTTCTCTGTCTTGCCGCTGACGCTCTGCATCCTCTTGAGCCTGGACTTTGGCTTTTTCTTTCTGTTTAGGGCAAGAGGACATCTATTTGTAGCCAAAATGTAACTTAAACTCACACAAGCAAATCTAAATCCAGACCATGCAGGCCTAGATATAAGGCCATACCGCAGTCTAGTACATTATAATGAGCCCTGACCTCTCTGTCCATCTGGGTCTGTAGCTCCTTCTCCTGCTGTTCCTTCTTTTGTTTGTCTTCTTCTTCTTCCTTCAGCCTGTTATTATCTTCCTCATTTTTCTCTCTTTCCTTTACTTGTTGAGCCTTCGCCTCCTGTTGTCGCTGCTCCTGCACCAGTTGTTTCTTCAGCTGCTCATCCCTCAATCTGATCAAGTGTTAACGCCCGTTACACACATTTTTAAAAATTTACAGTTTATTTATTGCTGTTTTTAGGCCTTGATGTATTTAAATAAACTCACCTTTCTTCCTCCTCTTGTTCCCGTTTTTTCTCCTCTATCTCCTTCTGAGCACGAGCCTGACGCCTTCGCTCTGCCAGCAACCTGGTAGCCTCCTCTGCATTCGTTGTGCCAGCTGCCGCCTTCCCTGCCAACGTGCACGCCGCTGATTCTGTCACACACAGAAAGATGGTGTAAGTTATCCAAATGTACTAAAACTGGATGTAGAATGAAAAGGCATTTGTACAAAAGTCCACCTTTTTTCTTGTCTCCATCCTGAACGTTGTTCTGCACCTTTTTCTCTGACGAATCCACTTTGGGAGACATTTGGTTCTTTCTGTCAGGAGACTGATTTCTTTCAGTTCCTTCCACCTTAAGATGCTTGTCAATGTGTTCACCTTTAGAAGGTTGGCTTTTAGTTATGTCAATGTTGACTACATTCTTATCAGCTTGTGAAGATGAATTTGTGCTGCTGACGTCAGGATTCTTTTTCACAGCCGTCTCCGTTTTGGATAGTTCGGAATTTTTCTCGGGTTTCTTTTCCTCCGATTTCCTGTCATCACTTGTCAGGTTTGGGCGTTGTCTCGTTGGAGAGTAATGGTACTGATGTGCACTGCTGGGAGACTGGGCACGCATCCGAGACACCAGCCTGCAACCAAGTAAAGCTGTCTGGCTTAAGAATGAAGTGTTTCATGAGGAATTTAACAAAAAAAAATACTGTTGTGCAAATAAACTGACGTCCCACCTTCCATGCCAACAACAAATAATCTTACTTGGAGGTAGTAGGGGAAGCCAAGTGCTTGTTGACACTGGCAGGAGATTCAGATCTTCTCACAGGGGATCCACAACCTGGGGATGCGGTTCTTCTTTCTCTGCGTAGTCGCTCTTTCTATAAGCAGTGATTTAAAATGATTTAAATGATGACAGGTGTTGTTGCAAATACATCCAGGTATAGGATACGATTTGTGCATCATCTGACCTTGGGGGTATTGGGAGTAGACTGAGAGCCTCCGTGAAGTCCAGCTCTGCTGTGATCTGCAGGGTTCAGCGAACTGCAGAAAGGTGACCTGTGAGGGCTGCAGGGAGCTGAACGATGACAAACATGATGCTTATCAAATCAAATAACGGCCAATAACAACTGACAGAGGGATAATAATACATCGTCGGGGGCAGAAGGGGAGCTCGCCTGGACAGTGTGTGCTGCACTTAGCTGGAGCTTACAGACTCAGTTTTGCAGCCAAAGTAAGTTGGCAGAGATAATATCACAACACGAGAATATGAGAGGCCGCATGCTAAGCCACAATCTACGAGTAGTGGTGATCAGTTTTCTGTTTTGTTGGAAACCTCTGCATCGTTGTCTTTCAACTGCCAGGATGACTGATTATGCCAACCGTCAAACATAAGGGGGTGTGTCTGCAGTGTTGCTTTTGAATTAAACCGTGAGTCTGTGCGCTGCCACACAGTATGTTGCAAGTACACACATGCCAGCATGGTGGCTGTGAACAAAAGTTCAGAACCCAGTTCCCAACATTTCTCTCTGTGCCACACCTAAAACAATGACGGCGAATGAAAACACACACACACAGACCTTGTGCAAACTCACGATCACAAAAGCAAAGTTCCTAAACATAGACGACATTATACAACACCAGAAACAGTCTTTTCGTCACCTTTTGTAATTTGTCATCCTTTCCTCACTCATCATAAAGGGCAATCTCAAAGGAGTGCAGTCATCTCAGTGGGGTGACGGTATCTGTGGCTATTTTAGTGCGCATATTTCTATTCTAGGTCATGTGCGAATAATCTCAATGGACTCAGAGTCAGCATCACTTAGGTGGTTTCATTTTGAAACTCTATTCTAACATTATCAATATAAAAGATGAAACAAACACTCAAACTGTGACTTCAACTGTTTCATGTCGTCGAGATTTCCAAGTCATCCCGATCCAGTGTTCTTTAGTCTGTTTGTAATTATGGAGAGTCTACTAATCTGGGGGAACTAATCCGGAGGTTGACTTCTGGATAGAGTTTCAGTCCTGATTAAATATGTTTACTACAGCAAACGTATCATGTAGGAATACTGGGCTTAGGGGGATGAATTAATGCAGGGAAATGTATTTACACCATCAGTGGTTAGTGAATGAAATAGCTGATGCTTTTTCTTATTGTTCTCTTTTGCCAGCATGGTGGCCCATCAGTAATCGTACTGCAGAGTTTGTCTCTGCAAGACAGGAGAGAATAAAAGTCCCACCAAATGAAAGGGCTCAGCAATGCATGCGTATTAGGTAAGCTCCCGTTCACACCACTATGTCACGATACATTTTAAAATAACTTATATAAATAACTTTCAATTTGCATCCCTGAAATGTCAACAATATTTTCACCTTGACTTTTTCGACTCAAAGGTAAAAGCCACTGCAGCGGAGCACAAATGCAGCAAACATAATGAAGCCTGCAGTATATCCAGATCACTTTGCAGAGATACAGTATATACACATCACATTTACAGAAAAAGAGAAGCATTAAATAAGAGAACAGCTGAACAGCCATGCATCACGGGAACTACCTTCGGTTCTAGCTGATGTCTCAGCTCAGACACAAACACGGTAACACAGACACGGTAACACAGACACGGTAACTGTTGGATGAATGGGAGGGGAGGTGCATTTGGGAGGGCATGGGGGCTTAACTTTACCAGATTCGCTGACAGCAGGAAGGGGGGAGGCAATGCCATGGGAAAAGGCGGAGGCAGCAGAGAAAGGGAGTGGGGCATTCTCACAGTCACCTATAGGCAGCGGGCGGAGCAGAGCAGAGCAGAGCGTTATGAACAGTTCATCTGAGCAATTCCTCATCCAGCTGTAGAGACCTGGTGGGAGTTAACATACCGGCAGGGATGTTGTGATGCGATGTAAATGAAACAGTCAAGTTTTTTTTGTTTTTTTTTAAATCTGATTTAAAGCCACTCTGGATAGTTTTTGATCGTGATGATGGGTTCTTATTTCATTCATTCACATGAGTGCAGAGCAACATAGACACCCGTGCAGACATGTTATTCCATCCCGTCTCTGAAGGGAAACAGGAACAGCCACTCGTTTCTGTTCATGCGTACTTCTGCAGCCAGGCCGTCGGCGATGATCGGGCCGAGAGAAAGCTGCCATGAACACACACACACACACACACACACTCTTTCTCTCTCTCTCTCTCTCTTTCTGTAATGGTATCTCACAGAAATACATATATTGCCTCTGCAGATAAAACACAGTTTCTCTTCTGCTGTTTCAGACCATTCAACCATATCTCCTGTACCTTCCAAGCTTCTTGTTTCCACAGCAATCTTTATCTCCATCTGTGTTGTTACCTGCTCCTGTAGGGCAGCCCCTGCTCCAGCGTTTTGTCCTCTGCTCCAGCTGAAGGCTTCGCTCCAGAGAACGTTTCATCAGGGCCTCGAGCCGCTCCTGAATGCAACACGGCACAAATTACATTTATTTGATCACCGTCACCTCACTGCTGACTTTATTTCTTTGCAGTTTATTACAACTGAAGAGTTCATTTGTAAAAACATATCACTCCATTTTTGTAGATTTTCAGGAAACTTATTTTTGTTGTTGTTTGTTTGAGATAATATCAATCAAACTGAAGTTGAGTGGATTTGACTCCAGAGAAATGACATGACAAAAATAGAGATAACTTAAGTTTATTGATATTCTCTCAGGTAGACGATGGAAAAGTGGGTTTTCTGAAGGTTTGAGAAGATGGAGTTATCTGTTTTTGCAAATGAACTCTTCAATTATAGATTATGAAGCTTTGATGTACCAGTAGGTTCTAGAGTTTGTACCAACTGACTATTTGTAACCATTAAATATGAAAACAGATGAAGTTCCCCAGAGCTCATATCACATGAAGTGTTGTCAAAATCTCAAACCATCCCTGATCACACACAAGACCATTAAATTCGTAATGGGCTGACCCTCTCCTCCTCGAGCTGCTGCCTCCTCTTCTCCTCCACTGCAGCTCTGCGTTGCTCCTCTTTCTGCCGCTGCTCCTCCAGCCGCCTCCAGCGTTCCTCCACTGTGCGTTCGTACTGCAGCCGAGCTCGGCGCTCCTTCTCTCTGATCAGCTGCTCCCTGGCCGCTGAAAGAGACAGAGGTCGCACGGAAAAAAACAAGAGTAATGAGCCAGTGTTGCTGCCAGAGGCTTTTTGCTATGCATTCACTCGTGGAGACTCTTAAGTGCATCTTAAATAAGAAGCAAAATGCAGCGATATCGGGCTGTTTTGGAACAAGATCAATATATTTAATCCCTAATGAAATGCTTCTAAGTTTGATTTGAGTGATTTTAAAATTTTCCTCTCAGTTAAAACTAACTGACAAAATGTGTCACGATAAGACAAGCTTGTATGCGTTGCAGTGAATTTGATTTCTTTCTGCCACTCCACACCCAAGATTAAGTCATGAAGATAGAAAATCCTCATCATCGTGGTGCAACTGCTGGAGCTGCAGGATTATCTGTGAGTAGGAGACCTACTTCTGTGAACTGTTCTGTGTTACTGTCACACTCCCCGAAGTGACACAACTATTCGTATCAAGAGCTCAGTGAACTCAGGATGAATCTTCCACTGGCTAACAAAGCTCCTCCGTGACCAATTAAACTGCAGACAGAAACGTGCCATGACAAAATAAAACTTTTCAAAAGAACAGAGTCACTTCGGAGTTGCTCATTTCATAAAATCAGCCCTTTTTTTTGTGCTTGTGCCAAACAGAAACCAGGACATCACCTACCCAGGCTTCTCTCCCTCTCTTCACGTCTCTCTTTGGCTAAACGCATCCTGTCATCTGTCTTCATGTAACCCTCCAGAACTGAAAAATGACAGACAATGTCAGAAAGAAAAAAAAAAGAAAAAAGACAATGCAGCCAAATTTTAAAATAAAAGAATCAAACTTACTTTGTTTACCTCCATGGTTGTTGCTGACGTTAGCTGCTAAGTGTGACGGGGATGCATGTCCATTCATGTGTGGCTTCTTCTCTGAGTTGGATGGAGCTGGAATCACCATGACCAGGGGGGGGGAGGAGAGAAAGCACACTCAGCTTTGTCTAAAGAGGTATGACATCAGTGTCCATTACTCAGCTGCAGATCTGCTTTCCTACCACCAGAGGGAAACATTAATTCAGCTCTGTGTGGGGTTACTCTGTGTTAAATGCATTGTGGTGCAAAATGTCCCGCGCCAAGGGCAAACTGCAACAGCACGCAGGAGAGGGAGAGGAAACTGTCCTTGATGTGGCAGTCACTGCACACATGCTGAATGTCACTTTTGGTTATTGTTGCAGAGCTTTTTTTTGTAACCAGCTCCTCCATTCACTTGACTACAGAGGAGCCCTAAAACACATTGTGCTAATAAACAGTAAACAGGCCCGCAGGAGGCAGACTCTCTAGAAACAGTGCAATCATTGATCAGTAAGTGAATTTCATCCTGATGAAACCACATGGAAGGAAAAGTGAGATTTATGTGGCAGAAGCCGGAGAGGATTACTCACTCGTCTTTCCTGTTCGAGCTGGTGAGCTGTGACCGTTTGTCGGAGATCTCTTGTCAGGAAGCAGAGTGATGGATGGTGGTGCCATCTTTTCCCCTGATGCACAAAACAGGAGAATTTGTGGAGTGCAGATCGAAACATGAGCTCCTGTTCTCACATCATCATAGCTACTTGTCTAAACATTGCTGGGTAGGAATAAATTCACAGGGTCTGTGTGGTCGGAAAATGTGTGACAACAACTTTACATATTACCTCATATGGTATATTAAATCTGCAATAAATAGACACAAGAATTAGACTAATTATTAACAAAGTAAAACCTTCTTTAGATTACACCTTAGGGATAGACTGATAATTTGTTTGGTTGATTCTTCCAATTAGCAGAATGTTTATTTTTCAGTGACAATTTCCAGAAAAATAAAGGATCTGTTTATGATGATCTAATGATCTATCAGTGGTCACTTGCAACGTCCCTCCCACAGCAGCATCTTATTGGTATTTCCTCATGACTTACAGCCTATCAATGCTGAGGGACAGATTGTGAGAAATTTTCTTTAAAGTTAGAATAGTAAACTAAAATATTAAAGCAAAGTTTTGTGTTTGTGCTATTCTAAACTTTGACACCATGATTTTGAATTTTTACTAGTTTTTAGTTGTTTTCTTGATTATCGATGATCAGAATCAACATCAGCCTACAACTATTATACACAAATTTTAAGCAGATACAGTCAAACAAACATCTTAAATCAGTGTCATAGTTAAGATAAACAAATCAAAAATATCAGACTAATCTATTGTGTGATCTGGATATTTTAAGAAGTCATTCTTGACACAGTAATCTAACCTTTGAACATGCCTCAAAGGAATAAAGTTTAATCCCACAAATTCACTGAATCGATACGTGCATTGTTGGCTAAACTGTCAACACAGAGCCAGTCGCTTCACTTGATCAAGTGAATTACTCTCTTTTCAGTCTGGGCTTTTTATTGTTTGCTGAAAGCTGGCAGACCACGCCGAGGTTTGGCTGATGTAGGACTGGACACCTAAAGTTTAAAGCTCGGCTGACTTAATTAAACGTATCACTGTGCCCACTCATCAATTATTTGTATTCATCACTTTCAATGATATCAGATTTTAGTGATATTTGTGGTGACCATAAGTGGAGTCTATTTAAAATGTGGCTTTAAGGGTAGTGAAGCTCACACTCAACATGTTATTTCCAAATGTAATAAAGCTGTTCATTCTTAAACATGAAAGCTGTTATTGTTGACTTGCAAGCTACAGAAACAAAAGTAGGGATGAAATAAAAAGAAAAATGACTTTTTCTTTAGTTTTGGCTTTTAAAAAAAGGTCTAAAAGTTCCATCATAGCTGTATCTAGCAGTCTCTTCCCAGTACATTATCAGTGAAGCAGTGAACTAGTGAAGAGGAAAATCTACTCTCATTCCAGCTGCATCCAATTTGATTATCTATCTGCAGGGAGATTTCCCTTCTTTCAGGGTGTGGAGGGTGAAAACTCGATAGCAAAGTGAACGATTAATCTTCATCCTGCTCCACAGAGACCCACAAAGTCATCACACAGCAGTTTGGTGCTCATACAAATTAGACAGTATAATCCACAGGCCTGTCCTGTACCACAGGCATCAGTCCAGTCCTCCTCTCTCCGCCCATTTCAACCCTTTTATCGGATTTTATCGCGTCATCACCAAAAAAATACAGCAACACAGCATCAGTATTTGAAGCTATCCCCTTTTTCCAGAGCTCTAATGCTGATCAACTGTCCTCACACGAGGAAACAAGAGATCACACAATGACACAACACAGAAACGCACAAAGAGGCGTCACTTATTTCTCGTGATTGCATCCATCAGATCTTATGGTTTAGGGTTTATTTCATTGAAAAGCTGTTACTGCGTTTTCACCCATGCTTTTCACCGTCAGCACGCTGAGTATTAGCGAATAAACAGGATGGGAGAAGCGGGATCATCGCAGCGCAGCGGCACATAAAGCGGTGCAAATGTCAGTTGCGTCATCCATGAGTCTGCCTTCAAGCCCTGCGTAAACACAACCAGTCCGACGATGGCACACAAACACACACCGAGCTTACCTGCCAGTGCGCCGGGTGGCGATGCGACGGCTTTCGCCATGGTCAGCCGGAATGCAGCCAAACGTACAACAGAGGCGCAGTCGCCCTACGCGGTCCGCAGTGGTGCCAATGCAGCACAGGTATCCGCTTCCGATGAGCGCAGCCAGAGCGGACAAAAAAACAAGCAGACACCATTCAGCCGGATGCTCTGAAGGTCATTATGAAGGCTGGGTGGTGATGTGGATGGTGGAGATAAGAGAGAGATGCTGCCGTGACTGAAAGCGGAGATGGTGAAGCGCAGACAGTTTACCAGCAGCGGACCACACCGTGCGTCGCAGCGCAAGCGCGTCCCGATACAGGGCTGTTAACACGTTACCGGCAGATGGAGGTTTCCTCTCTGCACACAGCTCAGCAGCATCAGCAGCAGCAGCAGCTCCAGACCCACCTCAGCTGACTGGAGTGTTGGTCTGGATGCTGGTGACACACAGGACATTACGCAGAATCAGTGTGTGCTGCTCAGAGCCAACACAGTTTAAGTGAATGCAACAAATAACAAATGACCTTACATCACAGCTGCACTCTAAAAAGTAATTTAGGTGATGTGTCACCAGCCCCTGATGACTGCAAGATTTAAATATACTAATTTAGATGAACCTTTTAAATTGCAAACATTGTTGTGATGAGTTGTTTAGACATAGAAATGTTAGTGATCTTGTCATTATTGTGTGTATTTTAAACTGAAATGGTTGCTTTGTTGATTTAAAATAACATTTAAGTTGTTGCAAATTAAATAACTGGCATGATAACTTTGTACCTCCAATTATTATGTAAGTGGTAATTTAAAAAAAAAAAAAAAAAAAAACATTCAGTGTAGAGGAAAGACTAATTGCCCTAACATAATATAGTTCAGTGGTTGAACAGAGTTTCATTAAAAGTTGCATTAACCTTGAATAATTACTGCAAACTGCTGTCTTAATGTTGTTGTTGAGCCTAAACAGTTGTTTGTAACCTACAACCAGGTTAAAAGGTTTGAAAATGCTACTTATCTAATGAAGGACTCATCTGGTTGGAGACACAAACTGTTTCTACTAAATGCTTTGAAAAAATAAAAAAAAATCAGTTTGGTCCTTTTCTTTTTCTCTGTTAAATATATTTATATTTGTATAAATCTTGTTTTTAAAAGAAAGCCATAAATTCTTCATCAAAACATTAAATATACAGCACAGTCAATTGTATTTAGGACCTACTTTCTGTTATACTACACATCAGCATTTGGAACCCAATCAGCACTTAAAGAGGGTCACATATTTTCCAGTTTTTGTTTGGTAATAACTATCAAAATACTGTCTGACCACGGTAAAAGTCTTTGACATCATCATGGCTGGATTAAGGGTCTGCAGCAAAAAAATGACTGTAACCCAATAATAAATGGATTTAAGAATATGCACCATATGACAATATAAGCTCACTGCAGCTCTCCTATAAACATGGATTTTAAAGTTATTACATGTATAAATAGGCCACCATAGAATTAGCATTATTGTTTGATGTGTCAGAGAAGGATTACACCTAAACAGTCTGGTAGGAAAGCTGAAATCAGATTATTTTAACATTTTTTCTTTAAAACCAATTGATTGACAATCAAACTAGTTCACTGGCTAATGGGTGCAGTTCTTGTTCATAAGATATCTATCAGCCAGTGAAATTGAACCCAAACATAGATTAAGCAACCAGATGACCATGCTGAAACTAAATGGATTTGTAATATGCTTTTGCATAGTCCATATGTCAAATAAAATATGACATTTTTCCTTGTGCTAACAGTGGTTTATTATAATAGTGAGCTTATTGTGTGTTTTCTGAACGTAAGTGCCCTAAATACTGAGTTGTAATTCAAAAAAGTATGTCTAAAATTTTAAATGGATAAAAACAGTTTGATTTTGCTATTGCACTTAAATTAAAAACGAGTTATTGTTTCATACATGTGCTGTCTCACAGACACCAGAGAAGAAGAGGTGGCAGCAGCGTTGTTGCTGCCGTTATTGCAGGCAGAGAAGAAGAAGAGCGAGCGGAGCCGGAAGGACAGAGGCTGACAGAAGGACGGATCCGTGCCGTGCAGGGACTGTGCTGGGCTAGCTCAGGAAAGATGCTGACCAATATCTCTAACGTGTTGAAGGCTTGCGCTCAGAGGAATGTAAGTGAACATATTTTATACCGAGGACGGTCTTATCGACACGTTGCATTACAGCCTAAATGTGAAACCTCCAGTATTTACCTGAACAAGGCTGTCAGCGCTGTTCTGACCTTGTCGGGCCGAACGGTAGCTTGTTTGGCTAACGTGGCTAAAGTCTGCTCTGAAATCTTTATTACAGTTTCAGTGTATTGGTCAGTAAAGGTTCAGTGTATAAATGCTTCGTAGTTTAACTTATTGTTTCTCTGTGTGTGGAGTTAGGTTGTGTTTTCACATGTGCTGTTATGAAAAGCTGACAGCTAGCTTTAGAAACTTGTTGCAAAACAAGGCAGCTCATCCTGTCAAACTGTGAAATAAAATGAATCAACCATGAAATATAAGCTCAGTTATACCACCAGGAAACGTTTAGGATTCATTAGAATGAGAAACCTATCGTAATACCTTTTTTATAGTTGTAATACTTCTTATTTTAAACATTTTTTTGGTCAAGTTTTAGCACAGTTGCCTGCATTTGAACACATCTTAATATATTCTAACTCTGGGTTAGTCTGTGTGAGTGAAAAATGAGTATTGTCAATTTGTAAAGTAAGAAAGAAAATGTTGTCTTGGTACTGACACTATTGTGATACTGTGGTATTGACTGATACTGAAAGTAATATTGAAAAATGTCAAATCTTCACAGATTTTAAACCTTTTTTTTTTTTTTTCTATATCATCCTTTCTCCCTTATGTCAGGGAGCTGCGGCGGTGGTGTCAGCACGCACATATGCCGACTTCACAACCCAGGCGACCTTCGAAATAAAGGTAGGATTCAAACATGAAGTTGTATTTTGTAATAAACTCACCCATGTATGAAACAGTTTGTGATTGTTTATGGGTGTTTTCCTTCCCTTTAGAAATGTGACGTCTTCAAGCTGGATGAGGGCCCAGCCACTCAGGTGGTCATGACTCGTGATGAGGGTCTGCAGTACTACCGCACCATGCAGACCATGAGGCGTATGGAGCTGAAGGCAGATCAGCTGTATAAGCAGAAGATCATCAGAGGGTTCTGCCACTTGTATGACGGCCAGGTTGAGTGAACTATTTCTAATTCATAGTTTTCTCCAATCTCTACAGTGTAAATCTGTTGAGAATTAACAAATTGTCCACCACTGGATGTTGACTCTTCAGCAAAGTCTGCTTTAAAATATTGCCAGAGATCACCTGTTACGTTATAACAGATGTTCATAGATGAGCGTTATTTAAAATGATTCTGTGATTTAAATACTTCTTAATCTTGAGAAATAAAGATGTTACATTTTTTAGTTGAATTTTTAGAGCACATCTCTATATGTGAAGGCCTGCAGGTCAAGCTGTTTGCTTTCTCCTCGTAGGAAGCTTGTGCTGTTGGTATTGAAGCAGCAATTAATCTCTCCGACCACCTGATTACTGCATACCGAGCCCACGGCTACACTTACACCAGAGGAGGAACTGTGAAGGAAATCATGGCTGAGCTTACTGGTAGGTCTGCATTTTTAAGACAAGAGTTGTTTTTTTTTTTTAAATGTAGGTAGGGATGAGTAGTCCTGCTGCCAACAGCCGGGATAGGTCAAGGCACACTGGCTTGCTGCAGGCATTTTTCCACTGCAGCACACAGAATAAGACTTGTTGTAAAATCGGGTCTCTAGAATATAAATAAAGGTTGAATGAATGAACAGAGAGGTTAAGTAGTTTGTCTGACCCTGTTATGAAGCGCTGCTTATTGTGCTAAAGACATTCTACTTGACATTAAAAGAACCCTATCATTTCTTTAGTGAAAAACTTTTAGCTTGAGGCAGCAACAACAGGAAAGGCTCGGGTTACATCAGCAGTAGTGTACAACAGCTGTGATTCAACTGAAAACAATATTCAGTAGCAAAAGGCTGATGTCTTAATGTACAAGCAGGGACACATGAGTAAAACTAAACTCCAAACACAGATGTGAAGGTAGAAGCTATAGACTTACTGAGAACTGAACACAAAGAGACTTCACAAACGAGGAGGAAGTTTGGCACAACTAGGCTGTGATCAGACCTGCGACCTAACATGGCCACGAGAGCGCAGTTATATACTGCTGTGAGGGCTGCAGTGAAAATGCATGTCATTATGGTTAGGCTTGACCCAGTGTAGTGGAAAAACCCCTAAAAGTTGAATTACTGTGATGAGATAATGTTGAGTTTAATCATTATTGACTTGAAAGTACCAACGATTCTTCTGTTTTTCTTTTACTTCAACTTGTCACCATGCTTGTGTTTTTAACGTACAGGCAGAAGAGGAGGCATTGCAAAGGGCAAAGGAGGCTCTATGCACATGTACTGTAAACATTTCTATGGAGGAAACGGAATCGTCGGAGCGCAGGTATATCACCAAAGTTTACTGACAAGCTGTGTAAAGTAAAATTGGGTCAAAAGGTGAAACAGTAGTTTTTGGCAGGCTACTCAGGTGACTCAGCTGTTGTAATGTAAATATCCTGCAGCTACAACTTTGTTTTGGTTCATTTCAAGTTTTGCCTCCTATTGGGGATTTACAACTTTATGCTGATAAACCTGCTAAAAAACTGTGTGATGTCTTTATCAACTTTCTCTCCTCAGGTTCCCCTGGGCGCAGGCGTGGCACTGGCCTGCAAGTATCAGGGCAACAATGAGCTGTGCGTCTGTCTCTATGGTGATGGTGCTGCCAACCAGGTAGGCAAAGAAATAACCTTCATCACTTGTGTGGCGCCATACTAATACTGAGCAACTTTGTTCCAAAGCAGGGCAGTCTTTCTCCAATGCTGAAGGTGTAGCACCTTCTGACCTTCCTTCTTACCTGCTTGTGTTGTTAGGGTTGTAGGGAGTTGGGTCCCATACAGGCACACATGAATTCTAGCTATGTCTTTGTGCTGCAACGACATTACCAATCTTCTGTTTTTTGCCATCATGGATGTATACATGCAGACATTGGACTTGCAGCTTCATTAATTTGTATATGACTCTAACCATAAAGGAGACCAGCCACATTTTGTCAGATTTGTGAAAGTTCTTTTTCTCTACTCTTTTATCAGAGCGGCTGCAGATCCTGTGGACTAACTGTAACTTAGCTAACCCAGCATACATTCAAATTCAACACAGCTACATAAGGGTTGCTGCCGAAACGGGAAATTAGTAAAATTCGAAAGAGAAAATAAAACACATTTCAAACTGTCTGTTTTCAAGATTTTAAAACCGTCTCTATGCTTTGCTGGATGTTTCTAATGAAAGCTAACAGGGTCTTAAAACACTGTGAAATGTGTCTTCTTTTTTTTTCTGCCACGTTAAAAAAAATCCTTTGTGTTGTTTAACAGGGTCAGATTTTTGAAACCTATAATATGGCCGCTCTTTGGAAGTTGCCCGTCATCTTCATCTGTGAGAACAACAGGTACGGCATGGGAACATCTGTGGAGCGAGCTGCAGCCAGCACAGACTACTTCAAGAGAGGAGAATTCATTCCTGGTCTCAGGGTACTGCTCTTACTCATGTCTTCCAACCTGTTTTCACACTGATAGAACTGGCTGTAGGAATGAGTCGTATAGTGTAATGATTATGCCTCATGATGTGTGTCTGCTAAATTCATGTAATGTATATGTAGTATCATCCCAAACTTCCATAGGCCTTAACCCTTGGAGTTTATCAGTCACTGATTTCTTCCACTTTGTAATGACTGTAACAGGAAACGTAACAGAAAGTGTTTGTCACTGTCTGTCTGTTCTCCATGTAACCAGTTTAGTGTAATGTCTTTTTAGAAAGGGGTAGTAAAATGTGTATGTGGTTTTATGCACAGGTGGATGGAATGGATATTCTGTGTGTTCGGGAAGCAAGCAAGTTTGCGGCTGATCACTGCAGATCTGGGAAGGTAAGTAAACACCATTTGAATTAGAGAAAGCAGACAGTGTAGATTGGCATTTACTCATCTTAAATATTTTCATCCCACCTTTCATCAGGGTCCCATTCTCATGGAGCTGCAGACATACCGCTATCACGGACACAGCATGAGCGATCCTGGCGTCAGGTAAACAATCACAGTTCTTGGATTTTTGTTCCAGTTTAAGTCTTTGCTTTGACTGACTGCTTGTGCTCTTTCTTGGTTCTCTTCAAATCAATAATCATCTGATCTGCAAATATTATCCTCACTGTGCCCTTGCTTCTGCCACTGTTCAACAGTAGTCTTTATGTGCTCTCCTTCCCTCCGTAGTGGCCTTCAAATACCCTGACCGCAGCGTAGGGATGAACTAACTACTAATATTGGTATTGGCTTTAGTAGATCATTGCCTGGCAAAAATTGCTAAACAAAAACATTGGAAATCAAAGCTGTGAAAATTCCTTCAGTGTTGTTTTATTTGTCCACAAAAATATTAGAAAACTCACCAGTTGATGCACAATTAACCCAAATCAGTTTCTTAATATGGCTTCATTAAAGTAATACTACTAATCAATCAAATGCTTGCAGTTAGCTGTGATTGAATGTGATTATATTAGTGCATCCCTACAACATCCCTGCACCAATCTCTGCCCTTTTTAGCTACCGCACACGTGAGGAGATCCAGGAGGTCCGCAGCAAGAGTGACCCCATCTCCCTGCTGAAGGACCGCATGCTCAGCAACAACATGGCCAGCGTGGAGGAGCTCAAGGTAGCAAATACTTCCAGTTTGTAAAATGAACAAACGCTGCAAGTCATTGCAGCATTTCTTTGTCATTCTTCGACATTTATTCTGTTTTTAATTAGAATTTTTAAACCTTGTTAATCCACATTGCAAGGAGTCTCAGATAGATCTTGGACTTGAGTAGTTGAGAACATGAGGAGAGAGAAGCAGATTTTATCATGATGATGACTCTGCTAATGGCTGGGATTAATGGGTTTGGGGTAATTGGATTGAGCCCACATATTATGGAACAAATTACCTCAAACTTAGAAAAAAAATTTAGTGTTGCAGTTAGACATGTGAGGTGAACTGCACGCTGTCGGTAAGAGGAAAAGGATGCAAGTTTAAATTTGTGTGCAAAACACGATGCACAAATAAAAACCAAATCTATCTACGACTAAAACACATCATGTAAAGACATTTAGTTTGTATGTTAGCCAACTGGTGGCAATTTATAGTTGTTGAATGCAAACTCAAGATTGCCTTATGGCCACATGCAAAATACCATGAGTTCAGCTGTTGGGACAGTTTGTGACAGAATTTCACATTTTAAAAATTGAAAACATGGAGCTAAAAAATAAAAGTCCTATTTGGGGTTAGGGGTAAAGTAGAAGTTGACATTCAAAGTCACATTGCAATGTTTAGACACAAGAGAGTGCTAGAGTGATGACATACTGTAAATGACATGCTGGCAACTGTTCTGTTACCGTGTTTTTATAAGTAGAACATGGCAAATACACAAGATGTTTGACCCATACATGTGTTTTTCTGTGACATACTTAATGCTCTCTATATATGTTGTACAAGTGCCTCAGTCATCAGAATCAGTAATATATAGAAACATATTTTCACTGATTTTCTCTCTGCGTTCCGTCTGTAGGAAATTGATGTTGAGGTGAGGAAGGAAATCGAAGATGCTGCTCAGTATGCCACCACAGATCCTGAACCCCCGCTGGAAGAACTGTGCAACCACATCTTTCACAACAACCCACCGCTGGAGGTGCGCGGCACGAACCCGTGGTCCAAGCTGAAGTCTGTTAGCTGAAGTTTTTTTCATCCCTTCGTTTAATCACCTCATCCACCCTATACTATATTAAACCCTCTTTTCTCTCAAATATGCGCACACATCATGCAATGTACCATAAACCAGTGCCTCAGACTCAGAGCGTCATGCATCAACAAGTAACTTACTTCCAGTGCTATAAACCACAGGGGCCATATTCACAAAGAGTTGAACTGTCAGACATTGACCAAAACCTAAAACCTACTGCCGTTAAGATCTGTCAGTTTGAAAAGCAGTCTTGAAACTCTGCAGTGTTACAGTGTTAATTATCACAGTAGAACACACAGCCTTACATTGAGCGACATCTAAAAATAAAAACAGCAGTCAGTTGGATAAGTATCAAATGTTTTGGTGTTCATATCAACTGCAGGTGCATTTCTTTGTCACTGTGTTGCCACAGTCACATGAAATTGTGTCCCACATTTATTTAGATTTTTTTGAAAGAGCCAATCATCCTCATTTTGGACCTTTCACAATCTGTTTAGTGATTAAAATCACCATTCCTGGTAGATTATTTAAAAGTGTTCACAAGTTTCAAATGTTTTCCTGTGAAGCGCAACAAATTCCTTAAGCTATTGGATTTAAAGTAAACTAATATTAAGCGCTTTGCATTTTTAACATTGGTTTGGGTTTTTTTTGTTTGTTTTTGTAAATTTGGCCTCGTTTGAACGCACGCTGTTGCTTGTTTGATGTTATTCTCTGGTCATTTTTGAGGTGCAATGCAAAAAAATAACACAAAAAATGTCATCTGTCACTGTTCATCTCAAAAACGAACTATCTGACCTGTAAAAATGGCTTTGTACTCTTTATACAGAAGTGTACATGATAAATAATTCAACTTAATCAGTTCTTGTCTTTTTTTTTTTTAATCTAACCCCTTGTTACTAGTCCGCCATATGAAGCAGCAGGGTAAAAACTGTTAGTATCAAATGTTTCTCTGAATATACTGTATGTAACAGAGAGCAAAGAATACCAAGGGAGAGGTTTGAAATGTTTTAAAAATCTACCTTGCCAAACCAAACATGTGCCTGGAAGATCTGGTGTTGTTTGGAAGTTGAATGTGTCGTCTTATGTTTGTGTCACACTCCAACCTGAGCGTGTTTACATTCATGTGGTTGCTTTGCAGATAGTTAGTTCCCTTGTTTTTGTTCAAAGAACAGCTCTTTTACAATCATTTGGAGACTTAGCTCTTATTAAATTGTTGATATTCAAGGTTATTTATTATCCTAGAGATTCGCAATCAAAATTCCCACAAGCTGAACAGTTGCCTGCAACAACAGTGAATGTAAACATACCAACTCTTAGTCATTGAAGTGCTCTCATTCACGAAGCTTCACTACACGTTTTAATTTTCCAAATCTGAGAGCGATGTTGGGTCGAGTGTTATTGGTTGAGGCAGCAGTGCATCAGTAGCTTTATGTGCCACTTGTATGTTTCACTAAGAAGGTTAATTGGAATAGTTCAACACATCATCAGTGGCACATTTAAAGCTCGTGTGTAGAGGACATTTTGAATTTCAGTCTGCTCTTTACAGTATTGTGGAGGAAGAAATATCTGCAAGTGACACCTCAGGTAGCAACATGCAATGCTAGCACTGTTGGTTTTGTACCGATGCTTGCAACTCTGTAAAGGGGTACCGGGGGATGTCTGGCCTTTTCTCTGTAATGTGTGATGAATTTAGTCAAATGACGGGCTAAAATTTAAAATGTCAGTACATGTATATATGTACAGCTGAGAATGCCTGCAATGTAAGTGTTTGTGGTCGTAAACTGTTACATGTAGGGTGGCGGATGATGCGAGGAAACGCTCCATGGAAACATTGGTTTTATGTGTGAGCCACTGTAATAAAAAAGGACTGTAAGGTATTATATTTGTGTTCTTCTCTTTGTATAAACAGATGTTGGGTAAATTGTAAATAGTGTCACTTTTCCAGCAATTATTGCTTAAAAAAATGCAATAAGACATGGCCTTAAACTTTATATCTTTTCAACATAGCACCCATTTCCATTTTTGGATCTTTGATTATTTGTTTTTCTTCCCCCCCTTACTTTTCTGTCAAGAGTTTGCTGGCTCACAGAGGGTATTACGTACCTTGTGGTGTGACTGAAATGAAGCAACAGTCATGAGTCATGAGTTTACCTTCAAAGTTGTTTTCCAAATCTTTCCACAAAGACACAAACTCTAGCTTTTAGCTTGAGGTGGCACCATCCTGACAGCAGCAAAGAGGCCTGGAAATGTCCTCAGATTTCAGTATTTCAGAATGCGAATCTACCTCTACAGCAGTATTTGGAGCCTTTCTGATGACTTATGAGGCAAACATTTCTGAGTTATTTGCATGACATTTCCATAAAGCAATAGTATGTATGTGGTAGCTGGCCCTGCACTTTTGTAAATAATACAAAATCTGTTTCCTTGATCACACAATACAGCGGTGGCATATCTGGGATCAATGTTCAGTCAACTTGGGTATATGTAGTGCCAGTTCACATGGCAGCTCAAGGCTATTCACATAGTAAGGTGAACACTTACTTCTTTTTTTTCCAGGAAAACCCCAAAAAACACTTGAAACTCATTTTGATTCACACTTGGCAACAGTGGGAAGAGGAAGAAAAAAGAAACTTTGGACAGTATGTATAGGAACAAAATACAAACTATAGAGAGAGAGAAGACAGTGACATGTAAATAGCATATAATTGGATGGAGAGCAGAGGTTTTGATTTTACATGTCCGTTTAATGTACGCCATGGGTTAACACCATTGCCTGACAGCTAGAAGATCCCTGGTTCACATCCTGGCCTGGGCTCATTCTGCGTGGAGTTCGCATGTTCTCCCTGTGCAGCGTGGGTTCTGTCCAGGTTCTCCAGCTTCCTCCCACAAGGTCCAGAAACATGTTGAGGTTAAATGATAATTCTAAATTGTCCGTAGGTGTGAATGTGAGTGTGCTTGGTTGTTTGTCTCTCTTTGTAGCCCTGTGATAGACTGGTGACCTGTCCAGGGTGTCCCCTGCCTTCACCCTAAGTCAGCTGGATAGACTCTAGCCCCCCTGTGACCCCAGTGAGGATTAAGTGGTGTATAGATAATGGATGGATGGATAAATGCAGTTGTTTTTCATGTGTACTGAGCACCATTTGCTCTCACAGACCTCATGCAGCGAAACTAAATCATAGATGCACTTTAACAGGCAGAAGCATCTAATAAACTCATGCAATGAGGCCTCACAATAGGCTGCAAGGGTCTGGGTCCATATGGCCTCTGTACCTTTTCACTTGTGCAGGATTTAGTCTGCCATATGGAATCAAGAGTTTTTTTAGACTTTACCCCAAGCGACATTTTCATATGTAATGAGTGCCATTTGTTCTGATTTACATGGAATGTGATGAGACTTTGGTGTGTATTCATGAGGGCTTAACATTTATAGGTGGGGGTCCCAGAGCAAGATTTACACAGGGCTCTTTAAAAAAAAAGCTTGAAGCAAGAAGACAGGGGCAATAAATGCATCAAGTGAAAAACATGTTGATCTCCTTGGATTTTATTTATTGGTGTCATTGCTCACAGTTGGAACGTGGTTGAAAAGAAAGAACGTGGAAGAAGGCATGCGCGCATTGAGACCTAATTAGCTCCAGAAGATGGCAGTAACGCAGCAGTGAGGACTCCAGCTGCTGCAAAACCTGAATGAAGAAGAAGAGGGAAAGGAAGCAGGAAAGCCTCCCTACCTGCCTCAAGTCTGAAACGCATTGCCAGTCAGTGCTCTCAAAGGAAAGGCACCATGGAGACTCGTGTCCACAATAATCTAAAGCAGGAGCTGCTGTGTGCGCTCCTCGCCGCCGTGCTGCTCCTCGCCTCGGTCACGTCCGCAGAGGAAGGCGCGCAAGTGAAGAACTCCCAGTGTCACAACTACGCGGGAGGACACGTCTATCCCGGAGAGGCTTTCCGTGTGCCCGTCTCAGATCATTCCCTGCACCTCAGCAAAGCCAAGAGTGAGTTTCTCCCCGTGTTTACGCAAGTGGTGGTAGTTTAGTCTTTGCATACTCAAACCGAGCAGTGATTTTAGTTCCTCCTTCCTGACAGCTGCAGCTTCATTGTGTCGCTGCTGCTGCTGTCAGGACAGCAGAGGCGCACTGAGGCTGCCTGCACTTTATTATCACACCCGCTCTGTCTGTCGGTTTTATTCAGAGGTGATATGAATTTAGTGTCACTTGCATTCCAGGCCGAACTTGAAAAGTGATGGATTTTGTAGGACACGTCATTCTCTGAGGTTCATTGGATTGTGCGCTTCTCTCCGCCCCTCCTGACTCATGACATGGAGTATGGCACAGCACCAGTTCACACAGACCTCCTGACATTTGCAGCTAAACTAAATCATAGACGCACTTTAACAGCCAGAAGCATCCAATAAACTCATGCAATGAGGCCTCACAGTATCCTGCAAGGGTCTGAGTGCATTATGGCCTCTGTACCGTTTCACTTGTGCAGGATTTAGTCTGCCATATGGAGGCATGAGTATTTTTTAGACTTTACCCCAGGCCACGGTGCATGGGTTTGCAGTGTTTGTGCACCAGCTGGTCCCCGAGCTTGTTGCACTAGTTTGTACAGTATATTTCTCCTTGTAAAGGAGACTGCATTCAATGTAGGAAGGGGAAACTTAAAAAAAATAATGACGCATGCAGAGTTTTTCCTGCACAGAGGAACTTTTGGCACCTTCGAAAAACAGGTTTTAGACACCTGCTGGTTTTTGCCAGCATCTAATGCAAAAGGACAATCACCAGCACAAAAGTAAGACTTTTTTTTTAGCCAGTTTTGTTAATTCCATCATGCTTATGTTATTTCCTTTCACATTGTGGATATTTTTTGTATATTACATGATCAGAAAAAAATGCAGATTTCTGGTAAATATGGTGCCATGGCCTCATTGTTTTTGCATACATGGGCCGATCATGCTTATTATGTTGCATAGTCTCCCAGCAAGGCCCCATTCTGAACCAGAAGAAACCCTGCACATGTCGAAGACTGGAAATGTGCACTGATATAGAGGAGCAGGAGTCGTTAAGATTTAAATACACTGTGCAGGCAAAAGCTTTGTTATCACCTCTGTAGACTGTGCAAAGTATATATATATCTTATATAAACACATTTTTAAAAATGTATGTTGAGCATTCAGACATCAGAAGATCATAATGCAAAAAAATACTACAGAAGAGCGCATGGATCATGTAATATGTAATGCTGAGCAGTATAACATATAACAATGCAGAACGCAGTGTGAATCTGGACGTTGTACTCAATGAAAATAAAACTCAAGGTGTAAAGTGAACTGTCACAATTATCCTGTGCAGTTCACTTTAGATATATGCTTCTTAACATTGAGGCATCGAATTTGGTGTTAAAGCTGGAGTGCGATAAGTAAACAAACATCCGCTACGTTTTAGTTAAACAAGTTCCCACAGTGCTAAATAAACCGATCAACCTCTCTCTCACAGTATGCTGACGTTTTAAATCTGCTGTATGTGTTTTACATCACACAGCCATGATTGATTGGTTTGGCAGAGCTGAATACGGCGGCCACAGAAAGTTTCTGAATGCGTTGACGGTGTTTGTGGAATCACCCTCACCGCAACAATGGGGAGACAAAAATTTTCATTTTTTCCCTTTACATTTTTGCTAAATTACATATTTGGCATTTCATCACTTGCAGCAACAAAAACGCACGTCATGGATGCCTTACAATTACAGTCATCATGCATTTTTTCTTCTCACTTCAGTTTCAAAGCCTGCACCACACTGGGAGGGAACGGCCGTCATCAACGGTGAATTCAAGGAGACGAAGCTGTCAGACTACAGAGGAAAATATCTGGTCTTTTTCTTCTATCCCCTCGACTTGTAAGTTACCATCTGAGGCACAAATTGCATGCCCCCCTTTGTAAATGTAGTTGCTGCACATCAGAGGATATTCTTATGTAAATGTGTTTGCTTTCTTGTTTTTTTTGCAGCACATTTGTCTGCCCAACTGAGATCATTGCATTCAGCGATCGTGTGCATGAGTTTCAGGCCATCAACACAGAGGTGGTCGCCTGCTCAGTGGACTCCCAGTTCACCCACCTGGCCTGGTACGATCTCTGCTTCCATTCTAACAAGACAGCGCTCTTATGGCTAAAGATCAAACCTAATAATACCACACAACTAGGCATTGTTGTTTGATTATTTTGTTCTCCAGAACTGCTCTAAATTCAACTGTTGTATGTACTTCTAAAGAACTCTGAGTCACTTTGCTCTGAAGTACAGTGCTGCCCACTTCATGTCATACCGCTTTATAGAATATCCTGTTTATAATCATAAAACATTGAAGTCCTGAATCATTTCCTACATAACCTATAATAAAATAGACCGTTTATTGTCATAGAAAAATGTCATAATCCCATTTTTTGTCATTACGAAATTCCCCAAAATTGATTCCAGGAATACCTTTTGCCCGTTTAAAGTCATGGTCTGCCGATCGTTACGGCTCACGGACCGAGCGTCAGTCATGCATGGCAGATTATCACACCCCGGTCAGCCGTGGAAGGCAACGTGTTTGTTTGTCCGTTACCTGCTCGTAGACGTCTTTGTGCCGCCTGCTGACAGCTCCTGCTGGTAGACATTTTGTGTTGAGGGACATTTTAATATGTTGATGGACTTTCTATCCTTCAATACTTTATTTCCCAAATACATCAGAATCAGAAACAGATTTTTTTGCCAGGTATAGTTCTCACAATACGAGGAATTTGTTCTGGTGGGTTGGTGCAACAAAACAACAATAAATATATAGTAAACAATAAATATACAGTAAAATAAAGTAGCTAAAAGTAGAAAGAACTGTAATCGTGCAAAGAATCAAAGTTACATTTAAATTTAAATAGGAATGGTAGTGTTGTTTACATGCTAAATAGGCCATGTAGATCTCACCGGTCCAGTACATAGGCTAGTTTCACTCGCCGCCATCTTGAAGCCCACTTATTGGAATATCCCGGATATAGTCAGAATTCCATCCTCAATTTTTTGTTTGTTTGTTTGTTTTTAACAGGATCAATACCCCAAGAAAGCAGGGTGGACTTGGACAAATGAAAATTCCTCTGTTGTCTGACCTCACTCACCAGATTTCAAAAGACTATGGAGTCTACCTTGAGGACCAGGGACACACACTGAGGTGAGGTTTCACCGTTGCATTTATAGCCATTATAAAGGGTTTGCAGGCATCTCAACTTCAAGAAACACGTCTCTTCACATCACACTGTTAGGAAACAAATGCTGACAAATTATAGGAGCCAGTAGTAAAGATGCTGCACAAATAAATCACATTTAATGTCTTTACATTGTGGGAGGAGAAAAAGCTTTGTAACTTGTTATATCTTACCTAACTGGGCATTTAAACAGCTACATGGACGTGAACAGAAACAGTAGGTGACGCTGTAATCTCACCTGTCTGTCTCAGGGGTCTCTTCATCATCGATGACAAAGGCATCCTGAGGCAGATCACCATGAATGATCTTCCAGTGGGGAGATCTGTAGATGAGACTCTGCGGCTGGTGCAGGCCTTCCAGTACACAGATAAACACGGAGAAGGTACAGGAAGCAGATTTCATTCCTTTTGTGCTCATGTTGACCAGTATTGCTTAAATTCATTCATTTTTTTTCCAGTGGAGTAATGAAACCGGGCAGTTTTCAATGATTCTTTGAGCTGTTTTTCTCAAAGTGCTGACTGGAACTATGCCATGTTTTGTCCACAGTGTGTCCCGCAGGATGGAAGCCAGGCAGCGACACAGTAAGTATCTTTTGATATTGATTGATTCAGTTGCTTGATCACTAACTACCTTCAATAGACAGAAGATCCCAGATACCCTTTTTTAATTTTTTGAGCTAGTTTTAAGGCCAGTGTCCATTTTTGATGCAGTTCTCAGTTTTGATTTAGAAAGTGCAACACTACACATCAAACAGCAGCGAAAATAAGACAAATAATGAATTCGTCAGCTTCTAACAGTGATCTGTGAGAAATTCAAACTGTTTCCTTGCGTTCTATTGCTTAACTGAATAGACTAGAGGGAGTTTTAATAGTACAACAGATGTATACAGTGACATGATGATGCAGCACTGAGACTTTCTCACTAATCTGTGGAAAGCAAACCAGTCCTCTAAAGGTTGGTAAACCAACATCGAACCAGAACTAGCGCCTAGATCGAGCTGGTGGAAGAGAGGAATGACAGGGTAGCATTTATTTTACAAACCAGTCTGTCTGGGCCTAGTTAAACAAAATCTGTCTCAGTCTTTTTCCCAAAAAGAAGTTAAAGGATGACTACCATGAACCTGACTTGACTAAAGTTGTGTCCACAGTTTTTGTTTATGTTTCTACAAGTACAACTTGGCCAAACTGGTTACCTTTAACCTCTTAAGACCTGGCATCCACATACATGTACATCACATTTTGGGTTATATTACCACAGTTGTTAATTTTGGTTATTTTTATTTTATTTTTTACTATTTTATTTTTATTATTGTTATTTTTTAGTTTATTTTTTATTTATTGTTTTGAAAAATATTTTGAATATTTTTTTAAAATATGTATTTTTATTTTCCTTGTATATTTTTTTTTTTTATTCTCTTTGCTGTTTGATCAGATCAAATAGCAAAGAGAAATTTAAAAAAATGCATTCTATACAAGAGTTTGGGTCTTAAGAGGTTAAAGAATTTGGTCCCCTTATGCAACTATAAGCAATAATTGGGATACACATGATAACTGAGTAGCCTATTATCAGGAATCTACATTAGTCACAGCCTAGTTTGTAGCATATTCTAGTTTATTTCTTCTGTCTAGTATTTTTCTTATTACTGAGCACTAATTTGTTGATTTCCTGTCCACAGATCATTCCAGACCCTTCAGGCAAGCTGAAGTATTTTGATAAACTGAACTGATATGTGCTTCTGTTTTCCCAGTCTGTGAAATCCAGGACTTACTGAAAGTTCAAATAAAATGTGTTTTCGTAAACTTCTGTCTACGTGGTCATTTACATTCGTCTGGCTGAGTCACTACGCAACACTGGAGATTTAGTTTTGGCCTTTGTCTTCTTTAGTACACAAAGTCTCAAAGCCTGCGTCACTGTGGGAAAGAGCAGCTGTCACCGATGGTGAAGTCACCCAGTGGCTGGCTGCCAGATACTTGCTAGAATGGCTGAAAACAGGTCGGAAAAGAAATGCAATGTGTAGAATGTCAATATACAATGAGCACAGAAGAGTTTCTACATTTTGGAAACTAGATGCACACAACATGTGCAGTCACTCGGGGCAAATGTCCTCAAGCGTTTACTCAAAGGATGAAATGAGTTTGCAGTACGAGGCGTCTGGCTGCAGTTTATATTTAACTTTACTGTCGCCTCAGCTGCATCTGAGTCATTTGTACAAAACAACCAAGCAAAAAAAAAAGAAAAGATGTGGGAAAAGGAAAGTGTTGTGATGCAACATGCAGCTATTATAGACCGTGAGAGACAGTGGAGAAAGCTACTAAGATGTATTTCTGAGAAAGGAATTCTGCTGTTTGAGTACAGATGCTCTTATTTTTGGACAGGCTCTGAACAGGAAGTGTCCGAATCAACTTATCTATCCATCCATTATCTATACACCGCTTAATCCTCATTAGGGTCGCGGGGGGCTGGAGTCTATCCCAGCTGACTTAGGGTGAAGGCAGGGGACACCCTGGACAGGTCGCCAGTCAATCACAGGACTTGAATCAACTTATGCACAAATTATACCACTTTTTTAAAAAAAAAGAACGTGGTCTATGTTCAGCCTTGCACAATTGGGCCTTAAAAGGGAAACTAAAATGTATCCAAAAGTACGAACATCATGTTTGAAGAAGGTTTTGTTTGCAGCAGCAGAAAAGTAGCTCTTGACCAACCAAAGTCAGGAGCATTAACTAAGCTGCAACATCAAGAATTTGTTTATTAGTTGCTCATTACTGGTCATGATGTTCCAACTCTTTTGCCTTGTTTGCTTTTTTTTTTGAGGTACACAAATCTTATACAACATATTATATAACTGGGACAATCCACAGACCAATAAATCAACAGATCAATAAAAGTTTGTTATTATAATTTATGCATGTGGCAGTTTAAAAGTGTCTGAAAGGCTGCATTGGTATTAAACACTAAATAACTCAGTTTAAATATGAGTTTTACTTTCCTCAGCTCGACAAACAATACGTGCACCGGTCATGTGTTGTTTTTTTTTTTCAGGTCGGGTTAATATTTACCCTTCAACTGACATCCTTATGAAAAAAAAAAAAAGAGCCAGTGGTAAAGAAAAAGAAACCGGATGCAAAGAATCCGTTTGTCCATTTATGGATCAGCAGCTCTGCCTCCTCCAGGAACAGATAAAAGGGACATTTCTGACGCTGCAGAACCATTCTGCGATCAAGCTGACACAATTCTTTATATGCTGGTTGACTCAATTCTTTATCGGGGGGTGAACTCCTGAGGAGCGAATGAAGAAACAAATTTTGCTTTTGTTTACATTCAGAGGACTAGTGAGCAAAGGGAAAAAGGGTAAAAAAAGAAAATGGCCAGTTTCATATTACGGAGGGCTGAACCAAAGGACGTGTCCGATATCCTGCGACTCATAAAGGTAGGTCGGGTGTTAATATTTGAAGAGCTTGCAGGACATGGTGACCAAATTACATGCACTTCCACTTTAAAGGTCTTTTCATTGGCTTTTCTTACTTGTTGCCTTTTAGGAACTTGCCAAATTTGAAGAGATGGAGGAGAAAGTGGTGCTGACAGAAAAAGGTGTTGTAATTTAGCTCAATGCTCGACTATAATATTAAAATGTGAATTTCAAAATATGTTTGCAGTCTTCATAGAGTCTCATGAAGTCAGTGTCCCACTTTCAGAATTACTTGAAGACGGTTTTGGAGATCATCCATTCTACCACTGCTTGGTTGCTGAAGTACCAAAAGAGAAGAGCTCTGATGGTAAAAACAAAAAAAACCTCATCATTCTCCAGAAGGATTTATTTTTTATTAAAGTTTAACTCACTGTGTTTTTCCTCCAGAGTACACCGTGATTGGTTTTGCAATGTATTATTACACGTATGACCCTTGGATTGGGAAGCTGCTCTACTTGGAAGACTTCTTCGTCATGCAGGAGTTTCGGGGTAAAGTTGTTGACTTGAAAAATTATATGACGGCACTAAAAGTTAATAAGTTACAGGAGAAGCGGTTTTGCAACACTAAAGGGCTTTTTATAGTCAGTGTCAGTTAGTGTTTTAATTGCTGTCTGTACATGTAATCTCTCACCAGGTCTTGGCATTGGTTCAGAGATCCTGAGGAGACTGAGTGAGGTACAACGGCACGTGCACAATTTATTCTTTTCTAGTGACAGTTTCACCACTTCATATGTAATTATATTGTCCTTGTTTTTCCCCCCAGACGGCAGTGAAGACTCGATGTAGCAGCATGCATTTCATCGTAGCAGAAAACAACACAAAGTCCATCGAGTTCTACAAGAGAAGAGGTGCAGCCGATCTGTCCTCTGAGGAAGGCTGGCGTCTCTTTGAGATTGAAAAGCAGGACCTGCTGAAGATGACTTCCAAATAGAGTTCATTGACCTGTACTGATTGTTGATTACGTGATTGCAATCATGCTGCTCTGTTTGGTCAAAAGTGCTCCACTTGCTTCATAAATCATTTAACCAGGAAACTATTACTTTTGATAATCAAACACTTCTGCTCATTTGAACGTTACACTGACCTCTGCTGTTCAGTGAGTGAACACAGATTTGGAAATAGCATGATCATTTTGAGCAGATATTTCTTACTTGAATAAGAGGCCTGTAAAAGGAAATAATTGAGATAAGAATTTTGTTTTTCTTCCTCGCTATTTTGTAACTAATCATCACAAAGTCCTGTTTCTTCTTGTGAACCTTTTCTTTGGTTCCTGATTTCTGATGAATGTTTATTTGCAGAGGTGATTTTTTTCATTTTACTTTTTATGCATGGTATTATAAATTTAATTCAATAAATCCAAACCTTTTTAAATGAACTTCTGACTTAAATGGTAAACTGAATATTTGATTCTTGTATTATCAAGTTATAAGACAACCTTGAAGCCTTGAATCATGGATGAAGTCTTCAGGTCATGTAATTAAGTAAAAGCAAAAGCACCAATATGTAAAAGTGACTGTCTTGTGATAAAAATGTTGCTCAAGTTAAATAAACATGATCAACAAACTAAACTTAAGGTATCAAATGTGAAGGTTATGGAGCAGAACGGCTCCTAACAGCAGCTTGTTGTCATACTGCAAGTTAATGTTATTGAATTACTATTACTGATTAACAAGAATTTTAATGTTTACATTATTAAAAACTAATTACATGGCTGATAATAGGCAGACAATCATTATGTAATGCATCATAAACACCTTTAAATCCTGAAATGCAATAACATTAAGATAAGATTAAGAAATTTTCACACTAAATCTAATATATTTCACCATTAAAGCCGCAACAATTATTTAAAAACATGTCAACTATTAAATTAACCTATTGGAAGTATTCTGTTTCCACCTTCCTAAAATTGAAAATATTCTGATTTCTTTATCCTTCTATGACAATAAACTGAATATCTTTGGGTTGACGACAAAATAAGAGGATCTCATCAAATATTTTTTTCAACATTTTTAAATAAAAAAACAGCAAACAGCTCGATTAATTTTAAAATATAAAATAAAATTAACAGATTGATCAAGAATGAAAATCTTTTGTTACAGCCTTATCCATCATTAAGTGAAATTATAACATGGATAAATGTAAATAGATATATTATACTGTCTACTTGCTTCTAAAATCTTACTGTAACACTTCACTAACTTTATTTCTGCATCTTTGCTCAGGAGTTAACTTGTGATTTAAAAGCATTTCAATAGAAATAGTTCATTTTGACAAGCAAAAACTGCCAAAGGAGCTGAGTTTGTTGTGAAGAAGCATTCAGAGGATGAAACTCCAGCAGTGGTGGTGTTTCACTGGAAACTAGTCAGCGGTTTGTTTAAATGTTGTCCGTCTGGAGGTCATAGTTTAATCGCCTTTTATTGTCCACCTCGCCGCTGCGGTGATGCTGTTTGGGGATCCGAAGCTACACCAGCAGCCTCGGGGCATAAACTAATTAAAATGAACACCGCAGTGCACGCTTTGACATAACCCGTGTGAACGCTGGTCTTGGGATTATGGCCTGTTTGGTGCCTGTCGCGGTGATTTCCACCACAACCCTTCCGCATTTTCCTGCTGCTCTCGGGCTGTGACGTGTCGTGCTGACGGCGGCCTCGGAGCTGGAGGAGCGGGGGGCTGTAGCATGACAAGATCTGGCTCCAGACGTCCTGCTTTGCTTTCAGCGGTGCTCCAGAAACAACCCCTAACCCCTCCTTCTCTGCTCCTCTCCGGCCCGCCCAAATAACACAAAATTCCCGACTGAATCCTGCCCGAGTCTGGGGGAACCAGGCGGCCTGGGAAGCCGAGGAGCGGACAGAGGCCATCCCTGCAGCATAAATCTGGTACGCGGGTCGTTCGTGCTCCGGGGGCGCCCGTTTTCAGAGCTCTGCTTGCACTCGTATTTGTCCGTGGCGCTTTGTTTTTGCATGCATGTGGTATTTCTATTTATTTCTTTATTCTTGCTGTGAGGCCGCAAAGGGTTGGGCCTTTTCTTCTCAGGCCCGGGCCTCAATAGAGGCCGTAATTGGTAAATCAGGCCTATCCGGTTAGCTAGCCACAAGCTGCCGATAGCTAAGCGTTTCTCTATCCACCAGTCGTTGTTGGTGTTTTGATATCGATTATAACTGTTGTTGTGCAGCTTCGCCTTCAACTGAAGCGTATTTAACGAATTCTAACCGCCTACGAGTATTTATAGTAAATGTTAAAATTAGCATTCGTCCAGACACCAAGCTAACAAAATGGCGGACGCTGGTGTGATGAATATCGGTTGTAGAAAAGGTGTGTGTGTGTTTAGCCCTCCTCCCGCTAGCTGGCTACTACAGAGCTGCATCAGTGTGCACCTAACGGAGCCTTGCATCTTTCTTTTGTGTTTTTTACACATTGCGTGTATGTCGGTGCAGCCAGATTTTCCTAAACGTGTGTTTTGGCCGTGACAGTCGGTCTTTGCATGTGTAATCAGTGCTAACGCTGCTCCAGTGGTCAGTTGAAGACATTGCCGTAGATCACCTCATCGGGTTTTGTGCGGTGTTTAGTCTCGCATGGATGAGCTGCTTAGTTAGTGACCGGTGCAGGATTTTAACGTGTCGCTGGTGTCTTTGAGCAGCCAGATGCTCTGGTGTGCGCCACATCTCAACACACCGTTGTCATCTTTTTTTCCACCTGGAGGTGGGGGATGGTACATTCAGTGGAAATTAAATGGCACCCCGGCTGCATCGTTTTCTGTTTACATCTCTGCATCCCCCCCTCCCCGTGTTTGTTTCAGGGAGAGATTTTTCTTCTCATCATCTCGCCTTCATCTCCCAGTGATGAAGGTGCTACCAGTTTGGCTGTGAGGATTGTTGTGGGGGAATATGTGATTTTGATTTTGGTGACTGAAGTAGTGATGCGGACATGGCAATTATGCCACTGGTCAATTCCCTTGCTATCCTTTGCCGCAGACACAAGCTAACACTGTAAAAATCAATTTCCCCCAAATGTGCTTTGAGCATTTTAAATTTCCACTTTCAAAAATCATGCATTTTAAATTGCAGTCATAACAGGCAATTACCACTGAGGCAGGAAGTGTGATTTTTGTTACAAGCTGAAATGATGTTGTATGCATGTAAATATGTGTAAATAAAATGTCCAAATAAATGTAGCTCTCTGCAGACAAACATTTGTATTCCAGCACCTAAAATTGGACACAACAGAGCACAACATGAGGCCGTGGTTTTGTTTTGAAAAGTTTCTGTACTAGTGCTGATTCACAGAATCCGTGTGCTGAGGTATGAATTATCAAATAAGACTTCCATATGCTTGACAGTTTTTAACACTTGGTTTTACAGCAGGATATATTTTATTTTAGACAAAACAACATTTAATATTCAGCCTGTCTGATAGAACAGTGAACACTATGCTTACATTATCAAGTCCACAGAAGCCTGCACGTGCAGTATTCAGTGCAAAAGAAATCAATGGATGGATACGTCTTAGGGGTTAACCAGTTTATCAGTTTGAGCAATAATCTGAACAGATGTTCAACATTTTTTTAGATTATTGGTATTGAAAAAGAAAAACAAACTGATTCCCAATAACATAACATAATTTTAAAATGCGCTATTTTGGCTCTGATGCAGCTGCCTCTCTCTGTATAGGTACCACTCTGCCATCTCAAGCTACGTATCCACATGTTTTCTGATTTGTAATGCATCACTAGTAGTTGCCTTGCAGCATCGAAGGATGCATTTTGAAAAGTTATCTTTTCATCATATACATGTAAAATATAAATAAAACAATTTCAGTGTAGTTTTCTGTTGTAGTTCATATTGTTGTAAATTTGGACACCAGATTTTTATTTTTACTGCAGTTAGATATAGTTGTATTTCTTCCAATTATTGTTATCATTGTCCTTGAACACTAGTGATCTGCATCCGTATCAGCCCTGAAAAAAACCACATTGGTTCTCCCCTAATATGTCTTAGCATTAGCTCATGCTGCAGTAGTTGTGCAATACCGGTCTCTCTGACATGTGACTCACATTAGATGGTTAGATTATCAATTCACACCACATTTTTCTATAACAAGCTCATTATGTCTGTCTCGGGGTACATCTTGAAAGATATTACTGCTATATTGGTTAACACACTGTGTTAGTCACGTTTGCGGCTGCATCTTGGGATATTGTGATGAAATCAAAACTGTTTCACGTCGCATTAATCGAGATGAACACATTATTTTTGCTTTTGTGGCCACAGATTGAGATCCAGTTATATCACACACAGCATACAAAACAAGGCAGTGTTCTACAGACAGATATTAATACATATAATTTTATATGATGCAATAAACATGGGTTGTCTGAGAAGATTGACCAGCAGCACATTTGTCCAGACTGCTACAACATTTAAGCATCGTACTGAAAAGATTTACCGAACATGTATGAGGATGTAGCAACAGACCGATGAAAGTTACTTCAGTGTGTAAAAGCATATAATTCATAACTATTCTGTTCATTATTTAATTTACAGGAGTGTGCAATGTTCATCTGTTAAGCTTTGCTCCCAGCAGGTTTGATCACCAGAGATCTAAGCTTTTTATCATTTGGTTTCAGCTCTCCAGTAACAAATGCAGTGCGAGGACAATGGATGAGGATGTCACCAGGCTTGCAATACATTCTGAAGAGCCTAAAATAATATTACACGGATCGGGTAATTAGCCATGCTTATGTTAATGTGTTTTTATTTACATAGAGTGTGTTTGTGGGTATGTGTGAGTTCTGATAAATATGGTAGTGTTGGGGTGTTTTAAGAAGCAGGATATTTTGGATAACCAGATAACCTGAAATGATGTAAGTAAAGTTGAGTTTAAAACAGTATGTTAGAACAGTTTCATATGATGGTTGCATGACATCAGTGGGAAAACAGTAATAACATTTAATGTACCGTAGAAATCATCCTCACACAACACACCGTGGCTATTGACTGTTATCTGGTTAACCGAGTAATCCTGCTTCTTCCAGATGAGGGTGGTGCCGGCGGGCAGGAGTTTGTTGTGGAGCTTCAAGAGACTGTGCTGGTGTCAGAAGGCGAGGGGGAAGGCATGGCGGTTCACAGGTTTGCCCCAGACGAGCTAGTCATCCAGGATGCTGTTGAGGATGTGGTTTCTGAGTATGTGCACTGCGATGAAGATGAAGATGTTGCTGTAGAAACCTGCGTGATGGCTCTGGAGGGCGAGGAGGACGGCGTTGCCATGGGAGACATCCCTGAAGATGGGCTGGACCCAGAGCAGCAGGAGGACGACCAAGATGGCTGTGGAGATTATCTAATGATATCCTGTAAGTTCACTGTCCTGCACTGCACTGGGTCGGATTGGTTTCCAGTCTGACATGTATTTGACGTGTGATTGCTCAAACCACCTTTAGAGACGTGTTTTAGACAGATCCTGAAATGGGGTAAATGCGTCCATCACTCCAAGACTCATAATTAATCTTTACCAAAGTGTTGCATTACCAGCAAACAGGCGGAGTGCATGTTCAGTTAGTATCTGATCTCCT